GCATTTGTTTTTCAATAAGCATTATATGAACGGGAGGCGTCGACATGTATTAACCTGATAAAAATAGTAAAAAGTTTAAAGTTAATTAATTCGAGAAATAGCTTCGGGACCAAAGAAAATCTTTTTCCAGTGAGTGTATCTAGTGATGAATTAATTATTGCCCAATTTTCGTAATTTTTTATTTTTCTAGGCAGAAGTTATTTACATTTGAAAATCGTAAAAATAAGCAAAGTGCCAATTTTAATTGCTTATTTTTTAATATTTGTGAAGAAAACAGGAAGAAAGTGATAAGAAAAACTAAAAGTTAATCACAGGTACTTTATATTTCATAAGGTTTTATCCAATTTAATGATTTCTCTTTCTCATATTTAGTTAATGAAATTTGCAAAAATAGGTTATTTTCCATGGAAACTTTAAAATTATTTTTTATTTAATATTTCTTATTAATAATTGTTTCTATCAATTTATAATAATAAAATAATTCATTCTTAATAAATTCTAATAATTTTTTTACGTTTTTATAGTAAATTATGTGTTTTCTTTAATATTTTCTATTAGATGAAAAAGTGTCAGTTTTTACGACTTCATATACTTTAGATGCTTATTTTACAATAAATATAAAAAATATTTAAAAAGTTCTTTTTGTTCGGTGATCCTAATATCTTTAAAATCATTCCTGCAAAATATTACAATTTTTTAAAATTAGTCGGCAACGACTTTAGTCGAAATATAATGGAATGACTCAGAACATAAAACATAGTTTCAAACCAATTTATTGTCAATTAATTTCCATAAAAATGGTAAACTGACATTAAAAATATAAAAAACAGGCAGTCCACTCGTGGTTATAAACAGTGGTCCACTCATGGTGCCATGCAACTGTTTATGGCAGACACCACAATTTGTTTTTGAATCAAAATTATCACTTAATTAAACTAAGACAATCAATTTCAATGTCCAAAGTAGTAGGAAAAAAATAAGTTACCTTTTAAAACTTAAATTTTACACTACTTTTACACTTCCGAATCACTTTACTCATTGTAAGAGCGACTTCTATTTTGGTTTGTGTTCTTATAAATGCGTTACATCAAACAATAACGTATATGATTATCGCGGAACATAATTTCTTACGGTTTCTAGGTGCGGTACTGCTATTCGTTTTATTTATTTCACGTTTCCGCTGTCAGATAACTTAAAAGCTCAAGTGGTCCACTCAAAGTGGCGGTCCACTCAATGTGACATTTCCCTATAAAAATAATAATGATAAGAAGATAGTTTTTCCATATTATGGATCAATTTCAGAAAACATAAAAAGATTATTGAAAACATTTAATATTAAATCAATTTTTAGTGTTAATTCAAAACTAGATAATTTTATTAAACTAGGGAAAGATAAGCTTGAGAGACATAATCAATGCAACTGTGTGTATAAATTTCAATGTAATTGTGGGAAATCTTATATAGAACAAACAAAAAGACCATTATATATTCGCACTAAGGAACATAAGAGTAATATTAACTTAAATGTAAAATATCATAATGTTATTAGTAATCACTTTTATAAATGGGATAAATTTGAAGTGCTAGATATTGAACCTACTCTTAGTAAAAAACTTTTCTCAGAAATGTTTTTTATAAAAGAAGGAAGTAATAGTTTAAATAAAGTAACTGATTTAGATAATTTTGATAGTTCATACGAAATGATTTTAAATTATTTCCAGTTTTTGTCTTTATTTAACAATTGATGTACAGAATCGATAGTGTTTGGAGTTTAGTTTTAATTTTGACTTCACACGCAGAGTTTTAATTTATTTTGTTTTAATTTATTTCGTTTTAATTTATTTAAGTACTTTTTTTAAAAATTTCTGTGGTGTGTTATTATAAATGTGTGTCATTATAATGTCCAAGTTTATCAGTGTTAATTTATTTATTTAACTATGATGTTAATGTTTATTTATTTATTACAAAATTGGTTTTATAATCTTTTCTAGGTATGTTATTCTCAACTTCATTTTTTATTATTTTATTTATTATTTTAATTAAGTAACTATTATATTTTTTAATTTAAAATTTTTATATTTTATTTTACTTTATTCACTCTAAATTCTTTATTATAATTTCGATTCTCATTTATTTTAGTTATGACTCCAAACTCTATGTTTTCTCTGACGTTTGATGGGTGAATATATTTTTATTTCTTTATGACGAATATTTATTTATTAAGGGGTTATATACAGTCACGATTTTCAAAAAATCGATTATTTTTTTTTGCATTTTCTTAAAGTATATATATTTGCCTGTTGTGAAAAAATTTTTTATTAAGATTCGAGAAATATTTTTGAAGTTGCAGACAAAATTAGAAAAGCGCATTGTGGGGTGTAGAGCAGGTGCAGCGTCTTTAAGGGGTTATATACAGTCACGATTTTCAAAATGTCGATTTTTTTTGCATTTTCTTAGGGTATATATATGAGGCATTTTACGTGAAATGTTCTAAGTTGAAATTTCAACTTCTTGAGAAAAATTGAAACTCAGGAAATTTGTTGTTCTATCAAGTAGAAATGTGCCCCAAAAAATATTTTTGATTTTTTTAAAAATTTGGAGGGGGTAGAGGGGGGTCACAATTTGACCAATTTTGCTAACACCGGCTACTTTGTGATTTTTTTCTGAACATACTTGTAATGGGAAAAATCTTTTAGAATATGTTTCTGAAAGGTTTTTTCGTCCTCTTTCCAAAAGTGTATTTTATTTTTTAATATTTTAAAAATTTACCTTAATTTTTGATAATTAATATTTCATTTTCAATTTCCCAAAAATCAGACCGTTTTTTTTAAATAAATTATTGCAAACGAAAGCTGAGGTTTTTTCCTATCGGCATGTAAATTTTCAGAATGCCCTTTTTTTTGTTTTTGAGTTATTAAATTTCAAAGAATAAATTGCGGCGCGCTGCGTCGCGGTTGCACTGAGCCGCGTGGCAACCGGCGTCAGACGAGGCGCCCGGGACGCAATTTATTCTTTGAAATTTAATAACTCAAAAAAAGATGCTCTGTCTTTAAATTTTTTCATTGTATGTTTGGGGAGTTTGTTATTAATTTATATAAACAATTATTAAAAAAAATTTCATTACTTGTATGTTTTTTATTTTGATACTGTGATCCACGGTAAAGAAAATAAGCCTAAATTGATTAAAAAATATTAATATTTAAAAAAGTTACAAGGATTTTTCTAAGTTAAACTTTAACTGCTGTTTTCTCGAAAACTTGTTTTCGCACGTAAGGTCTCTTTCCACTGTCCAGGTCACATATCCTTTTTTTGTATATTATTTTATATTTTTTTGTATATTATTTTATTTTTTGTAGATATATTAATTTATATTTTTTTGTATATTATTTGCATATTATATATTAATAATATATTATTTATTATGTTTATTATTTTATAATTTTTGTATATTATTTTATATTTTTATAGACTCCCTTAAGAGAAAATCATTTAGATTTCGAAACGTTGGAGTAAACTAATTTTTAAAAACTATTTATCCGAATGTTTTCGTTTTATTCTCCTTCACTATATTTACTATTTCTCGTACGTAAAAGATTGATTTAATGATAGTTTTTAAAAAATTTTAATTTCAAATCTCTTGGTGGACAGCAACATTGAAAAACTCATCTAATTGGTTCCCGGTGTCAAAATGTGTATATATACGTATCGCTTACAAGATATACACTTGATATCTTTCTAATTATGTGCATAAACAACACCGGACACCAATTAGATAAGTTTTTCAATTTTGCTGTCCGCCAAGAGATTCTGAATTAAATTTTTTTAAAAATTATTATCAAATTTGTAATTAGCGACTATACAAAAACCCCCAAGTAACAAGTTTCAAGTGTATTTGATAAATTTAAAAAATTAAGTCCGCCATATTGAATCCGCCATTTTGAATTTTAAAAAATGAATTTCATATTCGTAATTATCAACCCAAAAAACCCTCCAGGGACAAGTTTCAAGTGAATTCGATGAATTTTTATAAAACTCGTCCGCCATATTGAATCCACCATTTAAAATTTTTGAAAATAAGAGTTCATATTCGTAGTCAGCGACACCGAAAACCTCTGACTAACAAAATTCAGGCGAATTCATTGACTTTTGGGCAATATGAAGAATATTGCCTAAAATTTTCAAACTTTACTTTAGATTTGACGCAATATTGGCCCGCAATCTTGAAATTTTAAATTCTACTTAACTTTTCTCGAAAGTGTATAATTTTTATGCACCGATGGTTGAAAATAGAATTTTATTCTTACACTTTTTCGAGGTGAAAAAAAATGTCAAACTTGAAAATATTAAATTTTTTTGTGTTTTTTGATATTAAAACCGCTATATTTAATTTTGGTTTAAACGAAATTTATTAACACTGGAATCGGAAAGAGCCCATCCAAAACCCTTAGAAAATGTTCCACTGGTATAAATTGTCAACCGTTTTATTTATAACTAGCTGTCGTACCCGTCTTCGACGGGTTTGTAGTTCCTGTGTAGATAAATTTATTCGTACCTTCGAAAAAATTATTTTAGCACATTAAGCTTTTTTTATTTCTTTATAAATTTCAATGCTTTGAATAACACTTTGTTTGATTGGTATTCAGCCAATGTCACTGAAATATTTTTAATTTTTATATTTTATTATAACTTACCAAATCTAATTTAAACTTTGTTGAATTTAAATATCTCAATGATATTGTTTCCAAGATGTACCACATGGAGGTAACTAATCTTACATCTCACCTACACATAACCATGAAATATTCGAATATTTAAATTTAAATATTCGTGTGCCTTATGGTGCTTTGCAGGTACAAATCTGTATGTACAGATTTGTTTTATTTATTATTCACAGTATACATAGCCATACAAAGTGTTTGTTCAAATTTACACAATACATAATAATTACAATATTCTATAATTTTTTGTACATTATAAATTTTTCTTTTAATAAGAATAATTTAATTCATTAACACTTCTTTATATACTACATTTCGTGTCCTTCCTGTTGGCGCATAAATAAATATGGATGTTGTAGAACCTACTCTAGAAATCGCAACGTAAAATTCTCCATGAGAAAAGAATTCAGACTCACTCAGAGCAATGCCAACTGTAGACATGGTTTGTCCTTGACTCTTGTTGATTGTCATAGCAAAGCAGAGACTGATTGGAAATTGTAATCTTCTGAATTCGAATGAATAATTAGTTGGAATGAGAGGAATACCCGGAATGAACACAATCTCTCCTGCTGCACAACAAGTAAGAATTTCGGCTTCTATAATGAATCTATGCAATGCTCTAACTCTGAGGCGTGTACCATTGCAAAGTTTAGGGGGATGAATATTTCTTAACAACATTATTGGTGCTCCAACTTTTAGAATTAACTCATGAGCTGGCAATCCAGGAGCAGTAATGGAGTCCAAGAATTCAATAGGATAATGAATGCAATCATCTTGATTGATATGAGAATTTACAGAAAGATATGTTCTTTCTTCTGCTTCGAAAAGAGAGAGCACATTCTTGTTAATTCTTAACGCTATCTCGTTAGTAGGTGTAAGGATTGCTCGATCGCAAAGCCAAGAACTCTGTACTGATAGTAATTGATGTACCCCCGGGAATACTTTCTCTATTAATTCTTCTTGCGAACCAATAATTGTACCAATATTTGATGGGATGTCAATTAAACCATCGGTTTCTTCTAACTGCCCCTCTCTAATGGTCATTAAAAGGTTAGAAAATTCTTGGGCTCCTTGCTTTTCTCCTAGAAGAATTTTCATATTAAGCGACAAAGATAGACGTATAATTTTGGACCACAAAAAAGACCTTTTTATTGAATTTTTTGTATTTTTATTTTATTTACTTCATCTGCTCTTGTTCCTCTTAATACTACTGGCAAAGTTTGACGAAAATCACCTGAAAATAATATTGTTAATCCGCCCATGGAATTACTGTTATTTTTAACATCTTGAAGAGTGCGATTAAAAGCTTCAATGCATTTTTTATTAGCCATAGTGAGACCTACACTTTGTGCGAAGCGCATAATCGCATATTTTTCAAAAATTGAAAGAAAGTTTAAAGTTTTACGTATTATAATGTTTATGAATAAAATAAAATAAATTTAACGTCGCATCAAAACGCATAATTTTTTTTCATCGCACAATTTTTGAATTCTTGCATAATTGTGCATAATTATATTTTTTGTGCAAGAAATATAAAAATATTTCACAGTCTAAATCTGCATTAACGAAATATCTGTTTATAAATACATTTTATCATAAATTTATGAATAAAATTAATCATCCATAATTAAAAGGGCAATCCTAGTTGTAATTTTCAAAAAATTTGTTTTTCTTTTCTTGTATTTTTTCTAAGTTTACCCACACAACACCGAAAATTTCCTAAATATTTACTAAAAATTTACTTGCAAGCTTGGAAGTATTTACTTGCAAAGTTTAGTAAAAATTCTGCAAAGATTTAAATGTTCCACTTCAATAAATGTTGAGCTAACTTTGCAAGTAAATTCTTCGAAGTTTGCGCAAGTAAATCTTTAATAAATTTTTAGGAAAGTTTCGGTACTGTGTGGGTAGGGTGTCAGACATATGTTTGTAAAATAATAAGTTGATATTTTAAAAATTGAGTGAGATATAAAGCTTTAAAGATCTGAAGTAAGGTTCAGTTAAGTCTGGCTTCCTGTATCCCGGAACAAAATTTCGTCTAATGAAAGAGTATAATAAAATTTTAAACTCATTTTTCTTAAAACAGCATTTTGCAAATCGGTGATCGCACTATTTCTCAAAAACTACTCCACCGAATCTCCGATTTTTCTTGAGTTTAGTGGGCTTTTTTAATACATAAAAATCTACTCCTTACCTCAATAGAATGATTTCTTTTTTTAAGAAAGGGGTCGTCCATAAAGCATGTGATATTTGAAGGAGAAGGGGGGTCCATAAAATATCATGCTTCATATTAATCATTAATGGAAAAAGTATCAAGATGGGGGGGATAAAATTTTGGAAATTAAGTATGCTTTATGCATGACCCCAAACAATATCTTTTTACAGCTGAGAACCCACAGCATTTTTTTATCTTTTACTTTAACTAAATTTGTTTGAATTTTGTATTTCTGAGAAACCAGCTCCTTGTTACCGTGGTCATCGCAAAACATATTTTTTTATGATGACCTTTACTCTATATTTATAGAGAATAAGTTGCTTTTATTTAAAAATGTTCGTGGTTTTTCTTAAAAAAAATTAACATAATGTTAAAAGCTTTATTTGGGTCCTTAATAACGTTTTTCTTTCAAAAGCATCAATTTGCACTTTTTAATTTTTCAACGCATAATTTCGCATAATAATCAGTTTTTAGGGCATAATCCATTAATTTTTAGCGTCATAAAAAACTGTTCTTATCATAGTGCATTCATCCCACACTATAAGAACACACTCTCTAAGCACCTTAGCAATTCCAGAGTTTCTAGATATTGAACATACAGGGGTTTCCACTTTTTCAATGTTGATGGATATTTTAAACATCGAATGTGCTGTTTGACCGCCTGGAAGAAGGGTAGCGCAATGCCTGAAGGAGCCACGGCTATTGCAATTTTACCTTGACTACGTATTTTAGGAAGAATCAACTTTATTAAAAATGTCTTTCCTGTTCCTCCTGGAGCATTAAGAAAGAACATTTCTTTCGATATAATATAATTCACACTTGACAACATATTTTGATACACGTTAAATTGTTTATTTGAAAGATGAGGCTCATTTTCTGAGACATATAACAAAAGCTCATCAACATTGTAACTTATTTCCCTGATATAATCTATATTTATGTGGTCAACAGCAGGAGATGGAAGATGACATTCATGAAGACTTTTATTACCGATACATAAGGTTATATTCTCTATAGCTCTTAAACACAAATCATAGAGATAAGGAGTATTTTCACAATTTGCGTTTTCATTTGCTTGTCGAGCCTCTCTTAAGTAGTCTTCTGTTAATGAATCTTGAAATTTGTTCCATAAATCTAGAGGATCATTCGGATTACAGAAAACTACTAATACAGAGAACCATTCTCTAAGTCTTCTAGGACTGTCGGAAACGACAGCTTCTTGAAGGGTTTGCTCCCATTGACCATCATCTTCAAGAAGGCCTAAAGCTTTGCAAGCAGACTTATACGTTGGATGTAACATTCCCATAACTGTTCTTAAGCTCTCAAAAGATGTTGGACCTTTCACATGATGTAGGAGTAAACGAAGATGAAAACACTCATTATTATTTGGATGAATTGTATAAACTCTACCGATTGCAGGGTCTTTGAACGCTCCAGGGTGACCATCAACGGATTTACCTCGCTTTCTTCGAGAAAATTGACCCCTTTGCTTATTGAAAGTAAAATAAAAAGGTATTTCGCAATAAAGTAACAATTTGGCAAAATTGTCTACATGACACAATTTAAAATATGCCATTAAAGTAGTATTTTGAGGATTCTCATCCCTTTCTAACACGTTCTCTGCTCTAAAATAGAATCTTTGTCCATTCTCAAGATAAACGTCTAAATGAATTACTGGTGGATACCTCTCATGTATGGGAAATTCAAGAATCCGCCAAACCGCTTCTGAAGTTTATATATAACGCCATGACTGATACCGACTTACTTCATCTTGCTCGTTTGTGATAGTAATTGTGACTTGGTCGCTTCCTTTATTCACATACTTGCATACATACTTGATCGATTTTACACTTTTACAATACTCCACATTGATATGAGTTTTCAGTGAACGGGAGAGGACAAGAGAGTAAGGTACCACCTATCTATTGTCAATATTAATTATTTCTCCTGGTACATTAAAGAGAGTTGTAAAACCACCGTCTTCAGGTGAACGCCTTGTCTAAATAGGATAACTGTCGTGATCTGTTACTGTTTCTTTAATAAATTGTTTGGGATATTTTTTTGTACAATGTCCATCTTTCATACACCTGGACTGTCTATTAAAATGTCCACATGGTCCATGTATCATGTGAGTCTTTATTATATCAAAGAGTTCTTTGTCCTCTTCAACATTAGGCAATTCAGCTCTTATTACATCATCAACTTGATCAGGACGAATTGATTCTTCTAACCAAAGCAAAATATGTGCATGTGGAAGACCACGTTTTTGCCATTCTATGGAGTAAATGAAGCAAGAAACTTTTCCAAAAATTTCACCTTTCCTCAAAAGGGTCATTAAATTTTTCAACTTTAAATGAAATACCCTAGAAACAACATCATGTCGATCATGAGGACTTTGACCTTCGAACAAAAGATTAGAAATTTCAGACCACCTTGGATTGGTTGTAATTGTAATAAATAAATCGGGACGTCCAAACTTACGAACATAACAAAATGCATCTTGCGTCCGAGAATGCATGTACCTGGGTCCACCAGTGAAACTTGATGGTAAAATCACCACTTGTCCCAGAGATTCTAAATTCCCATCCCTCCTAATCGCATCTTGGAGATGAATATAATTCTCAGCTCTAAGCTGAGTTTGATGAGTTTGGATAAAAATCAATCTTTCAGACTCAATTTTAGCATACATGTCAACCAAAAATTGGTTAAACAATTGCCTAAACTGATGCAAATGATTAGGGTCATTTTGTCTGACCATTATACGAAAGGCATAAAACTCTAAAGCTGAGACTTTTTTATTGAGGAACTGACCAGTTTGTAGATCAACATGGCGATACAGAAAGTGATATCCATCTTCACCAAATAAAAACATTAAAGGATATTGTAAGGCATCATAAGAACGATGAGTCACATATTCTAGACCGAACACCTGCCCTTGTCTCTAAAACAATATCTCTCGAATCACTTGGATTTCCAACCATCACAACAGCGACTTCAGATACAGAAGGCACGTTGTATCTTCCAGGATGATGACCAGGTGGTTGTTTGTCAGCTTCAATTAAAACACGATATTCTTTAGAATCTAAAGGCAATGATTCTAATGCAACTTTTAAACTTCTAACATAAGCATTATGTTGATGAAGCAAATCATGCAACAGAAGTATTAGGTTCGAATTAAGATGATCAAAAATAGATACTCTTCTTTGAACCTGAGCATTAGTCTCAGAAATAAAATAAATTTGAAGAAATGTCGATGGCTCATTAAGAGGAGGCATAAAAGAGCTAATCAAATGATACACTTGGCCTTGTATTCGAACAGTAGGTCTGAATCCAGGTTCGTACATTTCATTGGCACCAAAAGATGTCATTTGGAAAGCACTGTTATAGGCTCTAATATTTTGTAAAAAGTTTTCAGAGTCAGGATGATCACCATTAATTAACGATCTTAGGAGTTCTGGTGCTTCTGGCAAAGAAAATAGCCGCAACTTCCCAGAAGAAAAGCACATACCCCTACTCTCACCTGGAAATGTCAAAGCTTTACAATGACGACATAAGATATTCATCTGACCAATGTTGGTTGCCTCAGAGTAGTCAATTAGAGGATCATAAGCGAAACCACCTTGTCTCGCCACATTCTCGCACATCTCTGTCTATGTCTCTCTACTTCTGTGTCAAGTCAAGTTCGTCTGTCATCATCTGATTCTAACAATCTAGTAATATTTCGCCTTTTTAAGTCAGCTGTCTGCCTTAGGACTGCGTTTGATTCAGTTTCATTTATACGTATATTTTGTATTCTCTGGCATTCTTCTATTAATCTTTCATTATGCTGCTCCATTTGCAACCTATATCGCATTCTTTCTTGAGTAAGCCTGGTTTCTCTTTCGTTTGAAGTCTCCCTTTGTCGTACTACATTATGTCCATCTCGATCATTTAGTAAACGAATATCTCTTTCATGTTCTGATTCATTTTCTCTATTAACATAATTCCGTTGCCTGTTTGTGGACAGCCTTATTTCTCTTTGTTCTGATGATTCATTTTCTCTATTTCTAGCATTTCGTTGTTGATTATTAAATAGCCTTAATTCTCTCTGCTCCATGGATTCATTCTCTCTGTTAACAGAATTCCGTTGTCTATTAGTAGACAGCCTTAATTCTCTCTGTTCTGTTAATTTATTCTTTCTATTTCCAGCATTTCGTTGCCTGTTAGTAGACAGCCTCAATTCTCTCTGCTCCGTTGATTCATTCTCTCTATTTTCATCAATTCGTTGCCTGTTAGTAGATAGCCCTAATTCTCTTTGCTCCGTTGATTCATTTTCTCTGTTAACAAAATTTCGTTGCCTGTTTGTGGACAGCCTTATTTCTCTTTGTTCTTATGATTCATTTTCTCTATTTCCAGCATTTCGCTGTTGATTGCTAAATAGCCTTAATTCTCTCTGCTCCGTTGATTCATTCTCTCTATTTTCATCAATTCGTTGCCTGTTAGTAGATAGCCTTAATTCTCTTTGCTCCGTTGATTCATTTTCTCTGTTAACAAAATTTCGTTGCCTGTTTGTGGACAGCCTTATTTCTCTTTGTTCTTATGATTCATTTTCTCTATTTCCAGCATTTCGCTGTTGATTGCTGAATAGCCTTAATTCTCTCTGCTCCATTGATTCATTCTCTCTGTTAACATAATTCCGTTGTCTATTAGTAGACAGCCTTGATTCTCTTTAATCCGTTGATTCATTTTCTCTATTTCCAGCATTTCGTTGTCTGTTAGTAGGGTTGTAAAATTTCATAAAATTTTGGTTTCGTTAAATATTTCATGCAAAATTTGAAATATTTTAAATAAGTTAGCGGGAAAATTTAAATTAGATGTGTAATGTAATGATTAATAATGTTATATATTTATTTTTATATTATTGTTTATTTATATTTATTATTTTATTATTACTTATATATTATTCATTTATTTTAAACTTTTTAAAAACAAATTATTAATTAATATGGTTTGTTAGGTTATGTAATATAACCTACATAACCTTCGTTGGAACATGCGCATATATAAGTGTGCAAAAACTGCCCCCGCATCTATTTTTCTCAAATTTGGCCCATATATTACTATACCATATATAATATACTATAATATATATACTATAACCATATATTACTAAATTTCAAATTTTTTTTTTTAATTCCAAAAATCTTTTTTTTTTTAAATTTAAAAATGAAAATTTTTTGAAATTTTCAAAAAAAAAATTTTTAGTTCTATTAAAGTGACATTTTTATGTATTTTCTCATTTCATTCTCTTATGTGATCTACTTAATAAAAAAATTTTGCCCGACATGATTTCAGGGTGCGACACGGTAAAAAAATCTCAAAAAATCCTAAAATTTGATTTTAAAATTTTCCAAATTTTTTTGTTTGTCTAAAAATATTTTTTTATATCAACTTCAGATTTGTATTTAGCAACCTCAATAACCCACTAGTTATAAGTTGCAAAAATATTTGACAGGTTTTTTAAAATTAACCATTTACATACAACATAAAAATGTACCGGGTAGGGTTTTTGAGTTATTTACCGTGACACACCCTGAAATCATGTCAAGCAAAATTTTTTTATTAAGTAGATCACATAAGAGAATGAAATGAGAAAATACATAAAAATGTCACTTTAATAAAACTAAAAAATTTTTTTTTTGAAAATTTCAAAAAATTTTCATTTTAAAATTTTCAAAACAAAAGATTTTTGGAATTTTTTTTAAAAAAATTTAAAATTTTTTTTTGGAATCTCTTTAATTGTCTTTTCAACATATCCAAAGCTGATTAAAATACATACAGTAGTTTTTGAGAAAAATGCGTTTTTCGATTTTTTCCCCTCCATACATAAGTTCCAAAAAACAAAATCTTAAGTTAAAAATTTCAAAAAAAAGTTATTTTTAAGTGGGTAGGAATGAATGGAAAAAATATATTCGGGTCACTTTTTCCATACTTATTTGGCTATACCCTAACACGTGAAATTGCCCATATGAATATATGTGCATTACCGTACGTGACAAATAGCATGACCATGGTTTTTGACATTTTACTCAAAAACTATATTTTTAAAAAATTTGGAAAAAATATATGTTAAAGGGGACATTATAAGGTACTTTTTACAACAAAAGAGAAAGTGGTCACTTCAAAAAATAACCCTAAAAAAAATTTTGAAAATTTCAGAAAAATTTTTTGAAAATTTTTTTTGGAAAAAAAATTTTGATTTTTTTTCTAAAATCGTCTTATCTATATTATTTTCCATAATTCCCCCAAAAAAGCGAATTTTGAGTTCAAAATTGCAGAAAGTTATAGTCATATGGATAGTAATATATGGGCCAAATTTGAGAAAAATAGATGCGGGGGCAGTTTTTGCACACTTAACCCCCTAAGCCATTTATATTAATCTGTGAAATGAAACATTGAAATATTTCAATCTTGCATGCAATTTTTCCTGTCTCACAACCCTACCTGTTAGTAGACAACCTGAATTCTCTCTGATCCATTGATTCACTCTCTCTATTTCCAGCATTTCGTTGCCTGTTCCGTTCTAATCTTTCCTGTCTGTCACCTACAGTTTTATTTTGTCTCGCCATTGCATGTCTTTCTCTGTATCGCATACGACGTTCACTTATGTTTATCAACGTTTTATCAATTTCATCTTCTTGTTCAATTAATCTAGACATTCTTATTCTCTTCGCTGCTCTTGAAACATTATTTAAATTTCTTTTTCTTGGCATGACTGACACCTACGTATATATTTTTATATATAACTATTATATAAAAATATACAAAGTTTATAAGAAGTAATAACAATTTATTTAAACATCTGAATTATTTATTAACTTGATTTAAATATATATTATTTTTTGTCATAAATCAATTTCTTGTAAGAATGTACTAATTCCAATTTAATTCAATATACAAAACAAAATATTTAATGCACCAGAGAGAAGGTTAAATAAAAATAAAATTAATACAAAAATATATGTCTACCTAGAAGAGTCTATAATTTTTGTTTTATAGTTTAGACCAAAGAATCCAAATTTTTCTTTAAAAAAGTATATAATATTTAATCAACTGATTATTTTCATTACAAAGTTGCAATAGTGAATTTAAATTTTTTATACAAATAAAAAAAATTTCAAGAAAACGAAATATTAAACAAAAATATTATTAAAATAAAAATAACTAAATATTTATTAATTATTTTCACTAAAAAGTAGTAACCGTGAATTTAAATTTTTTATAAGAAAAAATTTGTAAAAAAACGTAACCGCGAAATTATTGAAATAAATATAAATAAAATATTTATCAATTAATTTTTTCACTAAAAAGCAGTAACTGTAAATTTACATTTAAGAAATTTGGAAGGACATGTGAATGTGAACAAAATTATTATTAGAATTATTATAAACGAAATTAATTTTAAAAAACCTCTGCCAAGTTGTATATTTTTTTTATAATTTCGGTGCTCATTTCATGAACACTTTACTTCCTCATGGAGATAAAAATAGTAGAAATATATGAATAACTTTTTATAAATATGGTAAAAGTGATTGAATTTTGAGTCAATCAATGTATTTTTAAATACCCTGCAAGATAGTTACAATAATTTAATAGTTAAATACAAAATTTTCAAACAAAAAAATTGAGAAAATGTCATTTTTCACAATTTTTGGTTTTTAAAATACCAATAATTTCGAAATTTATTACCGAATTAGGTTCAAAAATAGGTCAATCGAAGCGTTTTTCAATGCTCTACAAGTTCATAACGATAATTTTAAAGTTACTTTTACGTTTTTCAACAAAATTTTCAAAAAAGTCTTATTTTCCAAAATTTTTGATTTTTAAAAGTTTAATAACTCTGGATAATATAGACGAAAAATGTTCAATTAGGGCTCAAAAGATGCGTCTAAAAAAACTCTACATAATTATGAAATAGTATATTGTGCAACATGTACAGAAAGAAGCTGTTTTCCGACGAGTACAAAGTTTTGCACGAAGTCAACATACGTACTTTTGCCAACATACGTACTGTTTAGCAGGGTTTGGAACGTATGTTACTGCACGTAATATACGTGGTTTTCTACGCGTATATTACTGTAAGAAACAGGTATTCTACAAATAGAAAACAAATACCTATGTGTATCACCAAAAAAACCCAAAAGTTTAAGAACTTTGCCGCACTAGTGAAGCAAAGTACTGTTTTGCGCCTACTTTACAGGCATACAAAGTATTACTTTCCTTACAGGTGTTGCACAATAGTATATTGTGCAACAAGTACAGAAAGAAGCTGTTTTCCGACGAGTGCAAAGTTTGCTGTCCCGAGCGAAGCGAGGGCAGCAATTTGCACGAAGTTGGAAAATCTTCTTTCGTACGTGTTGCACACAGTACTTTGTGCAACACCTTTTGGTTTTGATAAAAAAAGCTGTTTGGAAACGCTAGTTGACGCCAACATACGTACTGTTTAGCAGGGTTTGGAACGTATGTTACCGCACTTAATATTCGTGGTTTTTTACGCGTATATTACTGTAAAAAACAGGTATTCTACAAATAGAAAACAAATACCTATGTTTATAAAAAAAAAACCCAAAAGTTTAAGAACTTTGCCGCACTAGTGCAGCAAAGTAAGCACTTTGCCGCACTAGTGCAGCAAAATAACCACTTTGCCGCACTAGTGCAGCAAAGTACTGTTTTGCGCCTACTTTACAGGCATGCAAAGTATCACTTTCCTTACAGGTGTTGCACAAAAACATTTATAGGTGTCCTAACATTTTTTTAGAGTTATGGGCAAAAAACGTTTTTTTGCAACATTAAAAATAAAAAAAAAATTTAGTTAAACTTATTTAATATATCAGCAAGTACTCTCACTTTAAGTCCGCAGGTGAGATCTACAATTTAAAAAAAATTCAAGCCAAAAGCTCTTCATAATTTCGAGATATTTATGAAAATGTGATGTTTACACACACATACGGAATGAAATTTTTTTAAAATGTCATTTTTGAACTCCTCAAGTCAAATAACATAAAGATATGTCAAAAAATCGAACTCGAAAAATTTTGGTATTACAATACTTCCTCTATGAGGAAGTAAAAGAATAAACTACTTAAACTTCTTTATTACTCTTTAAAAAATTATTACAAATTTTTAACCTTTTTTTAAATAACTTCAAATTAAATTCAATTGACAATAATTTATTTCCTTAAACTTATTTATTGAAATATGAATTGTAGGTTTTAAAGAATTTTATTTTATTTATAAATGAAATGAAATTTGTTAATTAATAAATTTTAATTAAGTAATTTAAAAATATTTGAAATTTGAAATTTAAAAATAATTAGTAAAACACCAACCTCACTTCGTTCTTCTTAACTTATTGTTTTTTTTATTATTAGTATAATTACAGATGTGTAAATAAATATCTCTCCCTATTATATAAAAACATTTCGCCGCCGCCGCAGAGTTAGGATTTCTAAGGGTCCCTTATAATAGAGGGAACATAGTCAAGGTTTACCCACTGTTAAGGTAGGCCCATAGTCAGAAACAAGTTACATTTGACCTAAATTCAGGTCAATTTTAAAGGCAGTTTTAACCTACAGGTCAAAAATTGACAAAATAATCCCTTAGCCTTCAAAATTTAGGTCAATTTTAAGGGCAGATTTAACCTACAGGTAAAAAATTAACAAACTAACCAATATGCCCTTAAACTTTAAGTCAATTTTAAGGATAGTTTTGACTTAAAAGTCGAAAATTGATAAACTTATCGCTCTGCCCTCAAAATTTAGGTCAAATTTAAGGGGACTTTTAACCTACAGGTCAAAAATTGACAAACTAATCCCTCTGCCCTTAAAATTAATGTCAATTTGAAAAGCAGTTTTAACCTACAGGTAAAAAATTGACAAGCAATTCCCTCTGTCCTCAAAATGTAGGTCAATTTTAAGGGCAGTTTTGACCTAAACGTAAAAAATTTACAAACAATTCTATCTAACCTCAAAATGTAGGTCAATTTTAAGGGCAGTTTTAATCTACAGGTCAAAAATTGACAAACAATTCCGTCTGCTCAACAAATTTAGGTAAATTTTAAAGGCAGATTCAACCTACAGGTCAAAAAATGGCAAACTAATCCCTCTATCCTTAATATTCATGTCAATTTGAAGGGCAGTTTTAACTTACAGGTAAAAAATTGACAAACAATTTCCTCTGCTCTCAAAATGTAGGTCAATTTTAAAAGATTTTGACCTAAACGGAGAAAATTGACGAACAATTCCCTCTGTCCTCAAAATTTAGGTCAATTTTAAGAGCAGTTTTTATCTACACCGCAAAAATTGTCGAGAAAACACCTTCTGACCTGACCTTCCCTCAAAATTTTGGTCAAATTTGACATATTCTTTAACCTACTTATTAAAAAAGCAAATTAATTAGAATACTTCAAGAGGTCGTTACCTTACATTAAAATTTGACAAAATTTTTTACCTATAGGTTAAAAGAAGCTTGACTTTAATAGTAAGTTTTAATCAATAAAAGATGTTATAAACTGACATATATTTTTAAATATTTTATTAAAATTTATTTTCCTTTAGAGGAAAACATAACCTCAAACTTAGTTTAAAATTTAAAGGTGAGAGAGTAAAAATAAAACGCTAAAATTAGGTTAAAATAATAGGTGGGAAGGCAAACATAACTTTAAAATTAAATAGAGTCAAAATATAAGTCAAAATTTAATTTAATTTTTCACATATAGGTTAGAAAAATGTCAATAACGATTGTTTCATTACTTCAAAATCCATGTGTATATAATAATGTAATTTATTATGATGCATTAATATTAGAAACATTATTTGAAATTTATAAAAATTAAAATAAATATAAAAAATACAGATAGGGGGTTGTATGTAATTTATTATGATGCATTCATATACACGGAAAAAACTGCATGGTTGGGACAACCATATATATTGAAAAATACGGGATATCCATTTTTTTCTATGGATGTGTCAACTAAAGAAATGGATGTGGTAACTTTAAAAATGAATATCCAACTATGCAGTTTTTCCGTGTAAGAAAACATTTTAAATTTATAAAAATTTAAATTAAAATAAACATAGGGGGTTGGCGCGCGAAGCGCGCAGGGGGGCGAAGCCCCTTTAGTATATATATATCGCGTAATCGATTATCGATTCTCGAAATTTAAATGACGCGGAAAGTAACTTTGAATATAAAATAATTCGGTTTGTTACATTCCCCCTTACTTAATCGAAGTTACAGCTGCGTTCAATTCTTGGTGCTGAAAGGAACATGATTAACTAGACATACAAAATTTTTCGCAATATCGGTCCATCTTAATTGGCCATTGCGATTTTAAAGAAAATGAAATTATTATAGAAAAATAAAAAATTAAATTTAAATTTTAGAAAGAGCTAAAATATTATTTCTGAAAATAAAAGAAAGACTAGTACTCATTAACGTTCATTCTCTTTTTTTAATGATTCGTTAGTTGGTCGCAAAGTAACTTTATGAGTAAGAGTAATCGTAATAATAGTATGAAAATAATATGAATTTAGGAATTCTTATTCCGTATAACGCAAAAAATATCTTATGAACTAATATGCCATATAAGTAGTAACAAAAATAAAGTCCTTTTTGGCATGTGAAACTTGAACACTTATTGATATTCACAGCACTTAATAATACAAAAAAGTGTCTTTAAGCACTGTTATAGTTTTTTTTGCGTATTTTCGCGATTCACTCTTCTTCTTCGTCGTTGATTTCTAGTTCGTAGGCTTGAGACAATGTTTTTCACAATTCAGCGTTGTTGTCATCTGAGTCGAACGGTGAGAGAACTTTGTTTGGATCTCGGGTCTCGTTCTCGATGGCAATCTCTGGAAGTGGTAGCGCTGAGACGGCTATCGCATTGCGGAATCTCTCAGAGTGGAAATATCACTGCTGGCTTCCGTGGTTGGTTCTCGCAGTGGTCTCTGCGTATTTGTTACTGTTCGCAGAGCCATTTCTGCGCGGGACAACGACTTGGATGGAATTTCTTTGGCTCTTGGTCGAATTCTTATCTCGCGAAGTTCTGACTGCATCTTGAAGACTTCAGAATTTTTGTGTCTGAAAAGATCGCGGGTGCGGTGATACAATTTTTCTGTGTAGTTGTAGTCATCTAATAGCGAGTAGTAGTCTGCTTCGTAAGAATCGGCTTTCTGCTTTAGTTTCGCGGCTTCGGACTTGAAGTGGTCAATTTCCTCTTCATTTTTGAAAGCTGTTGAGCAGTTTCTTCTCTATGTTTTGCAAGTTGATCTGCGAGGTTTTGCTTCTCTTGGACCAAATCTAACAACATTTTATAATGCGCAGCCATGTCGGTGATACCACTGGTGGACGGTGTTGCTTCGGCTGCAGCAAGTTTTTCGCGAAGTATGCTGATAGTTTGGTTAGCTTCTATCAGCTGTTCAGAAAACTCTTGTCGCGAATTCACGATGTATTCAAGGTTTACTTTATTTAACATCATGAAACCGGATAATTGCTGGTCGAACTCCAGTTGGCTTCCATTATCAGAGATCGCAGAGATTCGAGTTATTGGAATCTCGGGGAGACTGGACAAGCTGTTGGCGTTGTTGTTGTCGGTTGAATCCATGTTAAATCTAAAAAGAAATTTTACAAATTGTTTTGCGATCGAAGACCTTTTTTGCGAGTTTTAAATCATTCACATGATATTTTCCAATTTTTTTACCATGCATGTCACCGATAATTACCACCATGGGGGATAATTTTTCCGTTATAATGGCTGGGCCTTTATATCGAGGCGCTAATTTAGAACTATAACCTTCGATAGCTTTGGACAATTCATTATTTGGATAGAATACTAAATTTCCAAGTTCGAAATTTATATCATTTTTGCGGTTTTTATTATAATTTTGTCTTTGCTTTTCACAAGCTTTGGTCATTAATTTTTGTACTTTTACACGAAGGTTGTATATGCGTTTTAGTCGTTCTGTCCAGTCATTGACTGTATCGTCAGTTGTCAGTTTAGTGTTAATTTCGAGTTTTTGTTCTCCTGTACGTCTTGGTTCGCGAGCGAAATTCAAGAATGCGGGAGTTACACCTAAGGAAGAATGGACGGTAGTGTTGTAAGCAAATTGTATTTCTTCTAACAACAAATCCCATTCGCGTTGATTTTCGCCAAGGAGACTGGAAATCATCGTTTTAAGGTTACGATTAACGCGTTCGACAGGGTTGGACTGTTGATGATAGACCGGTGTCGTGCGTTGGTCAGAACCAATTTCGTTTAAGAATTTCGTAATATTGCGATTAACGAATTCAGTTCCATTGTCCGTGACAAAAGTTCTGGGTGTTCCCCATTTGTTAATTAATGTGTTTAATGACTTAACAATTTTTGGACTGTCGGCTTTTGATAAGGCGAAACATTCAATATACCGTGTGTAAATATCTTCGCAAACTAAAATGAAGGATTTTCCTGATTTAGATCGCGGAAGTGGTCCTACAATATCTAAAGAAACAACATCCCATGGTTCATTGAACTTACGCGGATACATGAGTCCTTAAGGGGGTTTGTTTTTAGGTTTGCATTTTAAACAAATTTCACATTCGTCGATATATCTTTTAATATCTTCGCGCATACTGGGCCAATAATGGTGATTAATAATTGACAGGTAAGTCTTATTAATTCCTTGATGTGTGGATTGTGGAGAATCGTGATATTTAGAAATAATCGAGAATATATCGTTTTTTTTAATACTTTCTTCCATGGATTGTTATTGCCTATGGTTTCTTTGAGTTGGTTTGGTTTGTAGTAGTACAGTTCGCTGTTTGTGTCGAGTCTGTATCGTTCGTAGCGCGTGGGGGTATTACGTACACGTTCAACCATCTCGTCGTACCAAGATTTGCTATGGGTGTGACTAAGCTGTGGGAGGGGCCAAGCATTTCTTCTCGGTGGTAGTATAATTTAACTCTGCACCTCTCAAAGGTCTGCTTAGACAAGTGATGAGATATTCAATATCTCCATCTTTTTGAGTGAGAATAGCACCTATGCCAGTGTCGCTTGCGTCTGTATATAAGAAGAATGGTAAATTTGGTCGCGGCAGATTTAACGTTAACCCTTTAAAGCCCGAATTATTTCCACCGATTCGATTTCAACCACACTTGGTATATAATGGTTTTTGAGGTCGCTGATTACGAATCTGAAGTCAAAATTGCAAAATTCAAAATGGCGGATCCAATATGGCGGACGAAAAAATAAAAAATAATGGGATTTATATAAAACTTGTCACTCGGGGGTTTTTGGGGTCGCTGATTACGAATATGAAGTCGAAATTGCAAAATTTAAAATGGCGGATCCAATATGGCGGACAAAAAAATAAAAAATAATGGGATTTATATGAAACTTGTCACTCGGGGGTTTTTTGGGTCGCTGATTGCGAATATGAAGTCAAAATTGCAAAATTCAAAATGGCGGATCCAAAATGGCGGACAAGAATTAAAAATTAAATAGGATTTACTTGAATATTGTTACCAGCTGACTATCATTTATTCTTTTTCATTCAAGTCATGCGCTCCAGGGTTGTCAATTGTTTTTATTGATTGGCCAGCTGATTATCATTTGTTCTTTTTCGTTTGAGTCAAGCGTTCCAGGTTTCCTTTCACAAATGGATTAAATTTCTTACTTTTATTAAACATAATTCGCCCTATTAAATCCACCATTATGATTCTTAACATTTTAACCTCAGAAACCCCAAAAACCCAAAGCATCAAATTTAATGTAAATCCCATTAATTTGTTATTTTTTTTGTTTTTCATATTGTATCCGCTATTTTGAATTTTGCAATTTTGACTTCATATTCGTAATCAGCGACCCCAAAAACCCCCGAGTGACAAGTTTCATATATCTCCCATTATTTTTTATTTTTTTGTCCTCCATATTGGATCCGCCATTTTGAATTTTGCAATTTTGACTTCATATTCGTAATCAGCGACCCCAAAAACCCCCAAGTGACAAGTTTCATATAAATCCCATTAATTTTTATTTTTTCGTCCGCCATATTGGATCCGCCATTTTGAATTTTGCAATTTTAACTTCATATTCGTAATCAGCGACCCCAAAAACCCCCGAGTAACAAGTTTTAAAAGAATCTGATTAATTTTTTAAAATTTTTTCGTCCGTCATAGGAGAAAATGTATCTTGACACTTTTTTTATTTATTATTATTTTTATTATTTATTATTATTTTTTTACTTTTGTTTTTTTAAATTATCTGCTAGAAGAGTTTTACTAGAGCTAAGAATTTAAAATTTTTAGTAATATGTATTAGTTTCAAAGTTATGATGACTTTAATGCATTTGTGGTACAGCGTATGTACCACTGGGCGTTAAAGGGTTAAGGCATGTTTTAATAAATTTTTTACTTCTTGATAAGATTTTTCGTGATCTTCCGTCCATTTCCACGGTACTTTGGGACTTGCTAATTTATTTAACGGTCCTTGTACTCGCGCGATATTACGTAAATGACGGTGATACCAATTTATGGAACCGTTGAATTGACGTAATTCTTTGAGGTTACGGGGGGTAGGACGTTCGAGAATTGGATCTACGCGTTTCGGATTGGGTTTGAGACCTTCTTTGTCGAGAACAAAGCTGAGATATTCGACAGAAGATTTTGCGAAAAATGATTTTTCGCGGTTTATTGTTAAACCTGCTTTGTGAAGAATATCAAAGATAATATTTAACAATAAAAGGTATTCATGGAACGTTTTAGAAATTATAATCCAGTCATCTAGATACGCGTGTACTTGATCGATATATTGTTTAGGTAAATTGTTCGTGCGAATGTGTTCGACAAATTTTTCTTTCAGCCTATCAGTTAATTCTTGAAAAGTGGCTGGTGAGTTAGTGAGGCCAAAGGGCATTCTAACCCATTCAAATTGTCCACGTCCGGGTACTACAAAACCGGTATATTCGCGTGAATCTAGGTGAATTGGAATATGATGAAATGCATCGGTAAGATCTATTGTACTAATTATATTTGCTTCGAATAACGCGTCGAGGATAGTATCCATGCGCGGTAAAGGATATGCAGATTTTTTAGTATTTTTATTTAATTCTCTGAAATCCATGCAAACTCTTGGTCTGCCATCTTTTCGATAAGTTAGAACAATAGGACTCGCGAATCGACCGAAGCTTCGAATTATAAATCTTTTTTCGATATATTTATCAATTTGATCATTTATTATTTTATTAGCTTCTAAACTGTAACGGTGAGGTTTGAGTTTAAATGGGGTTTGATCTGTCAATTCAATTACGTGAGTTGCTAAGTTCGTAATGCCGGTGTATTCTGCGAAATTTGATAATTTTTTATCTACAAATTCATCTAAATTTTTTCTTTGTTCGGGTGTTAATTCTAATAATTGCACCGAATTTAGAAAATTACGCGTGTTATTTGATGGGTTAAAAGGATTTTGTGTTTTTGAATCTTCGATTGACCAATAACCTTTACTGGCGTCTATGACGACTTGCCATGCGGTTATGAAGTCCATGCCTAATATTATGGGCGTGGTTAGTTTATCGAGGACTGCGAACCATAATTCGCCAGTACAATCTTTAATTGTAACGTCAAATTTTGCAAAATAACGGGGCGCGGCTACGTGGTCGCGTTGAGCTAATTGTACGCCTGCACGAGTTATTGCATCTTGACTTGGATCACCGTTCGCGAATTCTTTAACTAAATCGTATAATTCTCCGGACATAAAGGTACGATCGCTACCTGTGTCGAGAAGACCGATAATTTGTTTATCGCCGATATTTATTATTGTGGTTATCGTGTTCCGTTTTTGTGGCGGTAAGGGCAATGCAGGCCCTCTGTAAACTAAGCGCTTGAATTTTGACAAGGGCTTCGACGTAAGTGAGTGTATGCTCGTCTCCACTGTATCAATGTGTACGGTAGTGGGAATGAGCTCGTCGCTTGAGTCTGAGTACTCCGTCTCGGATTCCGAGTAGCAATTGTCATCGTATTCGCTTTCGGAGTCACTAGTGAAATTCCTGCTGGCCTGCACTTGATTAAGCGCTGATTCTGGTGGAGAGGATTTATTTGTTCATGATGCGCGTGTTGTTGTTGTTGTTGAGTATTGGGATCTAATTGTAAATTTTCATTTTTTTAAAATGGGGAGGTGTTGTAAACATTTTTTCTGTTTTTGCGCGCGATTTAGTTAAAATTCCTCTTTGTGGTGGGGTGTTTCTCTTTTTAGGCATCAAAAGAAAATAGTGGGGAAAAATTTTTGTGTTTGATATTAATTTTTGAGAGAAAAAAAATTCAAAATTTTATTACAATTTTAATTGTTAAAAAAAAATTACAATTTTATTACAATTTTTAATTGTTTAAAAAAAAATTTCAGAATTTTATTACAATTTAAATTGTTTAAAAAAATTATTCCTTTATTTCAATAATAGTAATTTATTAATATCTTCAAAATTTTAATAGAATTTTAATTAATTGCGTGATTTATTTTTCCGTAATTTCAAATATTTTATTTCAGAATAATTTTCTTTAAAAAAAATGACCATGCCTGTGGAAAACAATAGAGCTGCAAAAGTAAACACAGCTGTGTTTTGATCGCGTTATCAAACTTGAATCAAGTATTCTCTAAAAGCGAATTTTAGGCAATTAATATTCTATTTCCAATAAAATAAAATTTTCCAGGGTAGTTTTATCGCGGACAATAAACAAAAAAAAATTTCTTTTGTTTATGGTAATCAATTACAAAATTTCATGTAAAAAAGCGAAGTTTTTCAAGAACAATAAGATTTTGGCATTTTACAAAAAGAGAAAAAAAAACAATTTTTACAACAGAAAATTAAGCAAATTAATACATAAAAGAAATTAAGCGAAATCCTGTAAAAAAAATGTATGCAAAAATAATTTTTTTTTTACAAAAAAAGCGAAGTCCTATAGAAAGAAAAATAGGCAATTTTTACAAAAAAGCGAAATTGTACAAAAAAAATCAAAGTAGATACGTTTTGATACAAGCTTTTCTAAGCGTAATTATTTTCGATAAACTAAATCCATAAAATATTAGAAGCAATAATTAATAATAAATAAATTTTTAAAATTGAGATTGTGCGAGCTAATAAGCAATTTTAGAGAATTTTCATCTGGTGTGTGCTTGTGTTGTTTGCGACGCGATTTTGAAACTGAAAATTTATTGTCTATTTTCGAAATTCGCGAATTAAGCAAAACAGAATTTTTGTTTGACTTGTAAAAATGAAACAAATTTTTGGCGTTATTATTAAAACGAAAGTTGGTAATTAGCCGTTATAAAGTTGTTAAATTTTTAAATTCAAGTCAAAGACACTTAAATACGTTAATTATACGTTTATTTGGATACAAAAAATATTAGTTGAAATGCCAATAATTTAGTCGCTAATCGCGTACAACTTTCGTGTAAACTACTTGTAATTCGTGACAATCTCTCGCCGTAGCTCGCGACAATATGCTGGTTGGCGTCGACTTTTAGCACGCGGTTTTGTCGTCTGCTCTCTCAGCAACGAGAATTGGCGTATCGAATCGCTATATCGCGTAATTGATTATCGATTCTCGAAATTTAAATGACGCGGAAAGTAACTTTGAATATAAAATAATTCGGTTTGTTACTATATATATATATATATATATATATATATATATAACCATTTTGTTGTAACAACAATGTTTTCAACAAAATGTTTAACTATTGTTAAGTTGTTTGTATGTGCATCTGACTTGATTCATAAATTCAAGTGTCATAAGGCATGCAAGCCTTGTAGTTTGCGTCAGCTGTAACGCACGTGAGTTTGTTTTGAAGCTGTAGTTACAGCTTATGGGCCCTGAAGCTGAATCCAGATGCATGCCTAAAAGCGAAACTATCCGTTAAACGGACCCCCCACCACTACTTCTTGACGGAGGGGAAATGTCAGTGGTTCTCATCACACTCTGAAGTTTATTTACGTTTAGAGTTTATGATACACAATAATGAAAAAGACAGGTTACATTTGATAAAATAAGAAAAATACACAAGTGAAATTAATTAAGTGTTTTTTCATCAGTATAAAATTGAAGATGGGAAAATATATTAATATAATCAAAGTTTTTCAGTAAAAGAGTGCTCCAGCAGTGATAGTCTGCAGATAATAACAAAGACACTCATTTTCAAGAGAGTAAATAAGATAAGTCAAATTTTTTCTATTTTAATGGTAGCTTTGTTTTTTATTGTAATATTAGTGAATTAAATTAAAAATTTACATATTATTTTCAATAAATTAGGATTTTAAACAAATTTTCAAAAGTAGATTTATCTGAGTTTATCAGCTTTCCTTTTAATTTTTAAAACGCTTTTCTTTTCCAGGGTGTCTAACAAGGATTGAAAAAAAAATTCCCTGACTTTTCCATGACTTTTCCCTGACTTTTTCCCTGACCTTTAACTAATTTTATTTTTGCTTTCTTGAGACAAAAATATGATAACTGACATATTTAACAATAAATTAATATCTAATGATAGAAAAAAACGGTAATAAAAATCTTCTAATTTTTGTTAGATTAAAAAAAATTTTTATTCACAAAAAATTTTAATTTTTGTATGCATTTTTAGAAATTTCCCTGACTTTCAATGAAATTCTCTAACATTCCCTGACTTTTCCATGACTTTTCCCTGACCAAAGAAATTCCCTGACTTTTCCCTGACTTCCCTGACTTCCCTGACCGTTAGACACCCTGTTTTCTAAAGCATGGCTGCTGCACACCATCTATTAATAAGAGAACATTTTTTCATTTTTTGTTATAGTATAAATCAATCAAAAGAATATGTCTTTTTAAGGTTAACATTTTTATACTCTAATCATCTGTGGATAATAATTTCTCTGACATGTTTAAAGAGTTGTCAGCATTTATCATTATACAACAATTTTTATGTGTTTTTTAGTGTTATGTATTTTTTATTTTTCTTCTATTGTATTTGTTCATCCTCTTATTGACTATCAACTAACGAATCTACCAACTTTTTCGATTTCTTTGAATATAAAAATTAATTGTGCTCTTTTTTTAGGTAACTCTGAACCTATGAATCACGTAAATTACTTTGTCAAAGAGAGGATTTCATACTTAATTTAAAAAGGACCTAAGTAAAAGGTTTGGAGGCGCTCTCAGAAATAGAGACCTCTCGACTGAAAAAAGTGTCTCGGAATATAGACACCTTTACCTTAATGAGTATTTTTTTCATTATTCCTTATTTTATTGGATAAAATAGAAATATTTAAATAAAGTAGAAAATTTTAATGTCTTTGTTATTATAATTTTGCTTTTTTTCTTTAAATATTTAATAAATTATTATTTATTTTTTATTAATTAATTTTAATATTTACTTTCAGGGATGGTAAAGTGGATAAATTAAAAGAATAGTCTAGTATAAGAGGGAAGAAATCAGAAGATTCAAATAATATTCCAAGATGTTCCACATATATTATCTTGTAGGAAATATTTTAAATTCTAGAAGCCTGCGAGCATTGTAGGCTATATACATTACAAGGGTTGCCACAGTTCAGAGAAGATTTTGGTGTCTTTTGTTTTCCTCATAAATTATGAAACTACCATACGAATTTTAATAAAAAACCTTCAAAATTTTTTTCTTTTCTGACAAGAATAAATTTTTTAATATTATTCAATTATTTTAAAAGTTTTAATGCAATTATTTTAATAAATAACAAAATTATTTTGAGGAATTTTAATAAAATTCTTTTTAAAATTCAATTATTTTCATAAACAACAATATTCATCACAAGAATTCAATTATTTTTAAAAATAATAAAATTCTTTGAAGAAATTCAATTATTTAAAAAAATTGTAACGAATATTTCGTCAAGAATTCAATTATCTTTATAAATAGCAAAACTTTTCTACAAAATCTCAATTATTTTCAAACGTTTATCGCAATTCAACGATTTTCAATATTTATTGTTTTCATAAAATTTATCAAATAATGTAATTCTTGAAAAAAAATTTGATACAATTCTAAGAAAACATTCAATCTTAAAAATTTTATTAAAACTTAATGAAATATTGCAATTTTAAGGAACATTCAATTATTCAATAAAATAATACAATTCGTAATAATAATTAAAAAAATAAATTTCGAAGAAGTGCAATAATTTCGAAGAAGTGAAAATAAATCCTAATTTCTATTAACAAATAATAATGATTAAATATTTATTTAAAAAGAAGTTATTGTTGTTTTCGAATAATTGTACAGTTAAAGAAATTTTTAAATAAATGTATTAATATATTTGTCTCAGTATCTCAATAATTTTTAGTGTAAATCAGAATATTCTCTATGGTCATGGAAAAAGGTCAATATTCTGCCTGGAAATCAGGAAAATACAATGTCCAATTTTTGTGGCAACCCTGATTAAAATATTTTCAATTTTTTAATGACATATTCTTCAAAGAACATTTAAATACTACTTCTTGGTTTGAATACTGCTTAGATAATTTTTTAATAATTTTAACTTTAATAATTATTTATTAGTTTTATAGCCAAGTATTTAATTATACGTTAAAAATATTATTAAAGCATTAACATAAAAAAATTGTTTACCCTACAAGTTGAATATATTGTTACAAAGAAGTTTAGGTTACATAAAAATAAAACATTATTCTTTGGTCAATTACTTTATCATTTATTTCCTGTTTACGTACACAATTTTTTTTTAATTGAGCAATTATAATTTAATTTTTTATATAATAACTTTTTAAATAAACTCATTCGCAGTAAATGCAACAAAAATATAATCTAAGGTTATCGAATCGATAATAATTAAATAATTAATAAATAATTAAACATTGAACATAGTCCTGTTACTAATCATCATTTACCAGCAGTTGTAGAAAGTGAGATAAATGACAGTAACATTTCAACAAATTTAGAAAACATTGAAATCGTCTTCGTCAAAAATGATTTCTTCAAGAATTTGAAAGATTCGAAGAATATTGATAAAGGCAATAATTTCATAAATTTTCATAGTCAAATAATAAATATATAATTTCTCAAAATTATTTTTATTTGAATTTTAGATATTGTAAATGAAATGTCATTCAATACTATGGGATCATTAACTCAAGTTATCGGACATGAAGCAAAAGAGAATATTTCTACGGATCATTTACTTGAAGAATGTGTGAATAGTAAAACTTCGAGAATGCTGGAAAATAATACTTTTAATAATTTACATGATTTGAAGAAAATTGGTGAAGGTAATAATCACAAAAATTGACTTATAGGTATAGAGAAAAGAAGTATCCAATCTTGATACCCTCACAGCAATGGATATAATGACGATATCCACTGACATCCTGGATACATTCTGTAAATATCGTTATTTCCGTTAGCCAACAGATATTCCTAAGACGTCTGTTGGATATCCTAAAATATCACGAGACTGTGATGGTGCATATATTTCTTAAAAATTATTTATATACAATTAATTAAGGTGTGGATACTGCATTCAATTTCAATAATGTGCGTTCAATCACCCAAGTTGCTGAAAATCAAGCCAATAAGAAAGCTTTTGAAGATAACTTAATTAAGGAATGTTTCATTGATGACAATTTGTTACAACTTGTGAATGATATTGAGAAGCGTAATCAAGGTAATAATTAAAAAATATTTCACAAGTAATAAAATAGTGTAATCTTATTAATGATCTGACATGAAAGGTTGACGCAAGCTTTGCTGTGAATTTCTAATTCGCGCAGATTATCAATTTCCACGCATAATATTTGTATAGTAAGCTAGTCAAAATCATGAGTATTTGTTAATGACAAAAAAATGACCGTTACTTTGCAGATTTTTCTGCACAGAAAAATACAGAAGGAAAGTTAAAATTGCACGAACGCGAAGATGAGTTACCATGTACATCAGCAACATCAACTAAGAGAATAGCAGACAATTACATGGTCAAATATTGGAGGGATAAAATGCAAGAAAGGGAAACATTAAATCAAAACTATAAATGGCGACTATGTTTCTTAAAAAAGATAAATAAACCGAAGGAACTTGAAGTAAAAGCACAATTTGATAAACTTGAAACAATTTTAAACGAAGAAGTTGATTTCTCTGAAAATGATGTTAGAACAAGCGAGGATATAAGTACTAATAATCAAGACAAAAATCAATTTAAATTCAACTTTAGAATTGAAAATGACGAAATAAATAATCAAAGTATGTGTGAAAAGATTTATGATGAAAATGAAGAAAATAGAAATTATAATGAAAATGAATATGACGAAATTGAATATGATGAAATTGGAAATAATAGAAATAGATATAATGGCGAAATAAGTAATCTCCATACAAATAAAAAATTGCGTATAGTGAGTGATGTAAAATTGAACAATAAGATTATATATAATAGAATTCCTTCATCTCTTGCGAATGTTCCTATAAAGAAAGTAAATAATCGAGATAATTCAGAAGAGTTTACACAGAAAGTAATACAGAATTCACAAAAGAGAAAGCAATTCTCTGCAAATAAAGGTAAGAAGTTCACATAGAAAATTGGATATTCAAAATTAAATTCAAGAAAAAACTTAATGGGTCATCTTGTATGATAGGTTATCGCATTCCTTCACTTTTATCTTTACTCAATTTTGCCAATTCATCCATTTATCCTTCAAGATACATCTCATTTTCCACCATTTATTCCTTCCTTTTAAATGCACATATCCTACACTTTACTCGCAATGTATTTTTTAAAAATGGATCTTCCAACATTCTTTCGTCACTTTACTACATTTTCCATGTTCCAGCTTTTCCTTCATCCCCTATTGTAAAAAAATTGTTAGTCTACTGTTTATTTATTGCCTTTTTGAAATTAATGAACGTGCTTAACAATATTTAATAGTGGATTTGATGTAAATTCTTTAAGTATAAAAAGTGTGGTGCAAGACGCCCCACCTGTGGGTCGTCTTGCATCAATAGCGACTTTTTTCAATGTTGTTGCCATGATCGAATCATTTTATAACGAGACATATATATACTTTTAAATCATAAATGAGTGATTGCTCTTTTAATTTATCATATATAACCTATTAAATAATTGATATTATAAAAGTCATTACATAAAAAAGTGGTGCAACTAGCCCCACTCTCCCCTACATAACGAGCAAAATTAATTTTTTCATGAAGCGACTTTCTAATGTATATTTATTTAAATTTATAGAAATTGTTCCGCCATTCGATAACTACACAAAAAGATATAAAAATGATTTGGAAGCAACCGAAAAATCGTTTGAAGAGACATTATCCTTATTCAAAAATTTTACGGAAGTTGCATCTCAATATTATTTGACAAAAACTAATTTCTATTCACAAAATAAAAATACAGCAAGAGCGAAAAATACTGTACACAACGTGGATTTAACAGAAATTGAAGACAATTATTTTCAAGCAAATGATCCATACGAAGAAATTTTACTCGAGACATTTAGGAAAGTTTCTCCAAATGAGAAGAGAAGAACATTTCATTTGATAATGGACACAATTGAAAATAATTATCTGGGAAATAAAGATTGAAACTTTAACCGTGCTTAGCAGTTACTCCAGATATTGGATTACAGTATCTACTTAACAGAGAAAATATGGAATTTTTTACTTTAATCGTACATTTTCAATAAAATAAATGTGTGTCGGGGTAGGCACCATATTATTCACTGCTCTCACAAATTCTTCATTTGAATAAGATTTTTGCATATGACGCATGTTGACATGATTATTATTAGTTTCATTAGTATTATTTTAACTATTATTATTAATGTATTTAAGAGTGTAATCCGTTAAATTAAAATAAATTAAAATTATTGTTATTTATTCTCGATGTGCATAAGTTGAACAGTTGTTGAATCTGTCTATCTTCTGTATTATGTACTCGCTTGCTGGGAAAAATCAATAGATTCTACACATTAACGTAGAAACAAATAAAAAATTTACGTTTATTTTGAATATCTCACTTTATATAAAAAATAGATTTAAAAAATTGGCAATATATCATCTTTGATGTATTGTTCTTTGAGATTTTGTAGTAAAAATTTGTTTATCAAAATTAATACTATTTTCCAAGACAAAAATTTCTTCTCATCCATTTTATAGGTTTTCTCTATAAAAAATTGTCTGATTTGTTATTGTAAAATTAGTAATTAAAAAAAATTCCCAGGGATGCATAAAGAATTATGTGGAGTAATGTACCAAATTTCAGAACGATTGGTCCAGTAAAATTATGGCGTACATGGACTTCAAAAACAATTTGCAGAAAAACGCTTCAACAATTGAGGATCAGATGCACAATACTTGAAGTTTTGCATTATTTTTAAACGTTAAATTGCAATTTAAAAAATTTAGCAGTAGATATTTGTAACCTTAGTTAAGCTTCTATAAAATAATCTTAAAATTGATTTGCAGCTATTGAACTATTGATAATAGATATTAAAAAGATAGTTTTATTTCAAACTTTATTCTAAATAACAAAAACAATAATATTTGATATTAAGGAATTTAAAAATACAAGTTCAATAACTTTTTTAATAAAAAGCAAAACATGACTAGTTTTTGAAACGTTTCGAGACATTGACGAAAAAATGTACATTATTTTTTTCTATTCTCTAAATATGATGTTAAAATATCTCTGATTTTCCATCCATCTGAATCACAAGTTTTATTTTCTTTATTTTCCTCATTTCTCGAATCTTCCATATTTCGATTTTTTGAAATATTTTTCAAAATCTCTTTGTTTAAATACTTTTTTCTTTCTTCTGCGTCATTTAACTCGCTTGTTATTAAACAATTGTGTAAGCACACTGCAGCTTTGACAATATTGACAGATGTTGATAAATTAAAACCTAAAGCTTTATGAAATACACGCCACTTTCCAACAAGAACTCCAAGTGAGTCTTCAATTCTCATCCGTGTACTTGAGAGACTATAAAAATAATTGTATTACGTAAGGTAAAGATACTATAATACTTGGACACTTAAAATAGTAGCAAATTTGGCAACGATTTTTACAGGATATTATATACTGGTTTACTTGACGATATTTTTATACTTCGTTCGAATTATGATTAAAGGATTCAAATTAATTCGAAATTAATCAAAATTTTTATTTTAGTTAGATTTAAATGTGGAAATAAATAATTGCTTCTTGACCGTAATAGTTGGACATGCCATTTTTGCGGGTCCAGTAGTTGGACATGATAAGGACCAAAAGTTGGAATTAATGTTGGCTTAATGCCTGTAAAGTTTTTGTCCAACTACTGGTGCTCAATGTTAAAAAGCAGAAGAAACACTCGATTTCGATAGAAAGATAAAGGACGTAAAATTATATTCACAAACAACAGATTATATTAATTGTAATTTTAAACACCATTCATTAACATATGTGGACGTCCACATGAAAAGAGCCCATTTTGGCACTATTGGAGTTATTTATATGGGCGTATTCCTGGCAAAATTTGGAAAATTTTGAGTGGTCTTAGAACTTTTTTGGTTAAAAATTCGCTGATTTACGAAATTTCAAAGTTTAAAACGCCAAAAACCTCATTTCGAGAAAAACTGAATTAAAGATTGCGATACCAACTAATTGTTTTATCTCTGGTTCTTGTTGGAAGTTATTCAGATAAGAATTGTTTCTAGTTCAAGGCACCTTAAAGATAAAAAACTAACAGGTTTTAAATTTTTTAAATCATCCCCCCCTCTTAATTTTGAAAATACGAAAAATCGACAATGTGGGCCCTTTTCTAAAAAGGACAGTTTTTCTATTAAAAAACCATTGTTTACAAGATTTATGATGAGGTACAATTTTATTGTGTCGTTTGAAGAAAAAGAATAGATATTAAACTTATTTAAAAATTGTTGACAGTCTCTATTATGAAAAAATTGACGCAATATCCAAATTTTCATTTCGACAGTTACGAAAAAAATACTCTAACATCAATATCTCTGGTTCTTCTGAGAAGTTATTCCAGGGTGGCCACAAGTTTCAGTTTATCAATTTCCCTGACAATTTACTGACATTAAAATTACTTTCCCTGACAAAATTCTTTTTACAGGAAAATATGAATGTTTACGAAAAATGGGTAAAATTTATTAATTTGAATAATTTCTAAAAATTACAATTATAACCCTTCCTGAATTCAATTATTTTTTACAATTTTCAACTAAACTTCATCTCTGAATCAATTAATTCAAATAATTTCCCAAAAGTTCTTCTAGAATTAAATTATTTAAATAAAAAAATTTCATTTTTTATAATAATTGTAATTATATAAATATAATAGTTTTTCAATTTTAAATAATTTACATACAATTAAAATTTGGTAAAATCTTTTAAAAATAATTGAATTTTTGAAAAATATAAATAAAAATCATCAAATTTTTTAAGAATTTTAATTTTAAACAGGACCATGATTTCTCAAAAATTTTAATAACTCCAAAAAGTAAATTTTCAGAAACTTTTATTCACATTGTTCGAAGATAATTAAATCTTAAAAAATTATTTTAAAACAATTTTAATAATTAGTTTTTAAAAATATTTTAATGTAATTTTTCGAAAATAATTGAATTTCTTAAAAAAACTTTGGTATAATTTAAAAAACTAATTAATTTTTCTTTAAATTTTAATGAAAAATTTTGAGCTTGATTGTATTCTTCAAAGTGTTAAAAATAATTCTAAAATATTATTATTTTTATATTTATTTGAATTTTTGGAAATATGTAATTGAAAATACTGATGACATTGAATTTTTAACAATTAGAAGCTAATATTTCAATTATTTTCAAAATTTGCAATTAAAAATCTTCAAAAATTGATTTTTAAAAATTGTAAATAAATACTTGAAATGTTTGGAAGAAAAGTCGAAAAAGTCGCAATTTTTTTAAATAAGTCGAAAAAATTCTCAATTTTCTTAATTTCCCTGACAAAAATTTTTTTCCTGACATTTCCCTGACTTTACTGACATGTGGTATTTTTTTTTATTCTTATCTGAATAATTCAGATAAGAATTATTTACAGTCCAGGACACCTTCAAGATGAAAAATCAAGAGGTTTTAAATTTTTTCATATCTCCATTTTTAAAATACGGATTACTTTTGCGAATGACAGACAAAATGAGGCTTTTTCATTTTTTTAAAGAACCAATGAAATCAAACAGTTGAATTATCGATAAATTAATGAAAACCGCATGATTCGACTTGTCAAAACATGTAGATTGATAATAAAAAATAAAAAAAAAGATTTTGCCCCAATTGCGATTATCTTGAAAACTAGAACCGACAATATGGGCCCTTTTCATGTGGACGTCCTCATATAAACAAGTTTACCAATAATTAAACAGTTCTTCTCTAGATGTTGTGACCAATCTTCTCGGGTATGGACGCATCATGTAAGGACGTAATTTAAATGCCTCATCTCCAATCAGAAAGTATGGAATTGATGATTGGGTCCCTGGCAAACATTCAGGTTCAGGAAGAGGAAGCCTTTTCTCTTCTAATTCTTGTGCCAATCCAGTAGCACCAAAAACACTGGCATCGTTCAAGGAGCCTAAGCAATATTATAAATAAAATTTTTTATAAGTGCTAGATTAAAACCCTATTAAAAATAATCAGAAGTTTTTATATTTGGTCATGTAAATATGAGGAAAGAATATTACAAGTGTACAAACTTTTCCTCGTGTATCTAAAAAATACACTTTTCCTCGTGAAAATATCTGGATGCTATAAAGTGTTACGCGCCATGTTAAGTAAATGTCGCGTAACACCTTATAGCATCCAGGCCCTTATTATGGTTTCGAGAAGGACAAATGATTCTCTACAATAATTGTAATAATGTCTTTAACTAACTTACCATAATCGCCAACATCAATCCACGTAAAGCGATAATGGGCATCACATATGGCCATGAGTACGAAACTGTAGTACTTTTTGTAATTGAAAAAGGCACTTCCTGAATTTGGAGGCTTGGTAATTCTGATGTGTTTACCATCTATTGATCCTAAGCAATGAGGAAAATTACACTTTTTCTCATAATCGATCGCAATTTCTTTCCAATCATCAACACTTTTTTCCGGAAGATATACAGGAGAAAGTATGTCCCAAATATCTTGGCAAACATCGCTTAAAATACCATAGACGGTTGACTTTCCGATGTAATAAAGTTTACACAAAGTTTCGATGCTATCGCCGTGTGCCAGAAAGCTGTAAATGAGATATGTTTATATTTTCTAGTGGAAATAAAAATACGATAATTACAATATTAGTCAAGTAAGCGAAATCATGAAGCTGAAACTTACTGTAAAGTTATTGCAAATCTCAATTGTGGTGGTAAAGGCTCTCTAACTGCAGAAGATCTTTCTAGTTTGGTTTTCAAAATTTCATATAGTTTATCAAATTGGGGGACACTCATCCTATACAATTTGTAAAACTCTTCATGGTCATGCAATTTAAAATAACAGAATAGAGTCGAAAATGCTCCGTAATCGTTTCTAATACATGTCTGAATGTGCGGTTTTACCCACCACCTTCGAAAATGCTTTTTTTTGTAGTTTATGTCATGCCGCAGTTTCAAAAGTCTTAAAAAAGACAATCCCACTTCAAAAAATGCTACGGCATCCATGCCTGAAAAATCTTTTTGTGATGTCACGAAAAACAAGATAATCAAACGCGCACTCAAAAATTACAAAACAATGTAAAAAAATACGAAATGGAACACAAAATACGAAAAAGAAAAGAATGAAAACAATTTCTGTTCTTGCGTAATGAGTTAAAATTTTCGGTTTCACATACTAAACAATCTCAAATTAATATATGCATATAAACAATCATTATAATTGTTTAGAGTGAATGTTACTCTTCTTTTGAAAGCATATCATTTGTTTTTTATATAATTTAAAACTGATGATTAAAACTGCCTATTAAAAAATAAGTAAATTAGAAGCGGAATTTAGTAATAAGCTTTAAAATTATTACTTCAGAACTACTTTTACTTAGTTTGGTTTTAAAAAAATAAATAATTTACTTTTCAAACTGTATCAAAATTTTCAACCCCCTTCCCATTGTGTACATTTTCAAATAAAATTTGCCCCCACACAATTACTATTACAACCCCGATCAAAAGCTCATCCTATTCTAGCAAAATGATCACATAGACAGACATGAAAAGATATCATCTTCGAAACACATTCTTTTGTGCACAAGTTTTTTAAAAAGTTTAGATGGAAATGACCTTAAAAAATTAGTCTGCAACTATTTCACTTTGGGTTTAAAAATTCTCAAAATTCAATTTTTAACAACTATGAGAGTAGCTTATGCTAAGCAAATCATACTGTTAACACTATCCATTTACTTTTTACTTAAAAATTTATAGAAATTTATATCACTTTACTATTCTTAAACAACAATTTTAAATTTATCTCTAAAGGGCTATTCAATCTTTCCTTGTTGTCCTCCTTCATAATTAATAGCATCAATACATTCCTAATTCCACCAAAAAGCTTCTATAATACGAATATTGTTTACAAAAGTCATCTAATGTTATATAGGAAAATGTATAGTGTTTTTAGGATATAATCAATGAATAATTTTTTATTAATATTAGAATATCAAGAAATAAATTAAGAATTCATTAACCCTCCGTCACACACCTAGGGAGGGATTCCCTCCGCGGTTTCAGTATTTTTTAAATAACTTTTGTCTTCCTTATTGCAAAATAAAATCAGTTTCTATACCTTTCGACGGTTCCCTCCTCAACACATTTCTAAAAAAACAATTAGTTTAAACATAATTAATCTTCATTTATGAGACTTCAAAGCTAATAAATCTCGAAAAAGTGAGGAAATTTTAAGTAAAATTCAAATTTTCAAAACATTTTTTGCTTTACTGTTGGTCGATGAAAAAATTAGATTATAAATACAATTAAAATGAATTATTTGATGATTTTTTTGCTTATTTGTTAATGTTACATTATTTTTACATGTAAAGTGGAATTCCTTCGAAGATGTGCTTCGTGTAATTAATTTTTATTTTTGAGACCGAAAATTAATTTCATTAATTTTATGATTTTGGAATAATTTACTACATATTTGTAAGTTTGTATGAAATCAAAAAAGAAAATTGTTTACTCAGGGGTTTTTTGAGGTACTTAAATACAATTTCGATGACAGATTTTCAAAAGTTTTCAAGTTTAAATTATATATTCAGGGTGTCTACCAGTCCTAGAATTTTTAGAAATGTCCTGGATCTTCAACTTTGGTTCTTGAATTTTCCATATTCTGCTTTTAAAAATTCAATAATTCAAAAGTTTGCTCAAACTTAAAAAAATGTTTTTGATCTATCGAACAAACTACTTTTAACAAGATAATTTCAAATTTTAAACGTATTATAGTTTATTGATAATTATTGGGGATCGAATTTTGATTGTCAGATTCAAGACAGATATTTTTGACTGTGGTAACCCCTTCTATGTGAGCGCTTCCAAACCTTTCAGATCCTTTTTGATTTGAGTCTAAGATCCTCTCTTTTACAAAGTAATTATTCTATTTTCAGATTTACCTAAAAAAAGAGCACAATTAATTCTTATATTAAAAAAATCGAAAAAGATCGAAATACGTTGGTTGACAAATCAATAGGAGGATGAATGAATGCAATAGAAGAAATTTTATTACAATAGTAGATATTGAAAATAATTGAAATTAAAAAAAATGTTGAAAATAATTAAAATTAGGACAAGAATTTTTTTACATAAAATAATTGAACTTTGGAGAAAAATTTTGTTATTTATAAAGATAATTGGGATTTTTACGAGAATTTTTTACAAATTTTGAACATAGTTGAATTTTATTTTTTTTTAAATAATTGAATTTCTGCAATTATTTGTAATTTCTCTAAAATTGTATTTTTTAAGTGTTTTCAAAAAAATTTAAATTAGAAATTTTTAAATTCTATTATTTTTAAAATTGTTAATTTTATTTAAAAAAGGCAGTAAGAAGTTAGTTGCCCGCTTTAGCGCGCGACTTGTTGGTAGTTTAATTAAAATAATTGAAATTTTGCAATAAGATTTATCATTTATGAAAATAATTGAAATTCCTGAAAATAATTTTATTATTTATGAAAATAACTGGAATTCTTATAAAGAATTTTATTATTTATAAAAATATTTGAAATTCCTGAAAATAATTTTATTATTTATGAAAATAACTTGAATTCTTATAAACATTTTTATTATTTATGAAAATAATTGAAATTTTTGAAAATAATTTTATTATTTATGAAAACAACTGGAATTCTCATAAAGAATTTTATTATTTATGAAAATAATTTAAATTTTGTGAAGAAATTTAAAATTTTTGTATAAAAATTGAAATAACCTCAAAAAGACATATTCTAAAAGAGTTGAAAATAAATTAAATTTAGCTCATTTTATTTAATAATTAATAATTTTTAAAATTTTGAAATAAAAAAATAAATAATATTTACTACATCAAAAAATTTCAACAACTGAACAGAAGTGAAAATAGAGATGAAAAAATAACCAAAATAGGTGTAGCAAGTGTCAAATTTAGAATTATATAATACTAAGAAAATATTAAAAGTGTAAGAATAAAAAGTTATTATTGGAAATATAGAACATAAAAGAAACGAGATAGTTTAAGTAAAATTCTCACCTTCTTCTATTGTATCTTATATATATCCAACTATATTTTTGGTTATGGCCAACGTCAATCTTTTACATCTTTTACACCTTTTACACTCTGTAATTTAATTCACTAATATAATATTACAATAATAAACAAAATTGCCATTATAATAGAAAAACACTTAACTTAACTTATTTAGTCTCTTGAAAATGAGTGTCACCATTCCTTTTTAATAATATACATATAATATGATGAAACTATCACTGGAGCACTCTTTCATTTGAAACATTGGATTATGTTAATATATTTTCACATTTTCAATTTTGTACTAATGAAAAAGACACTTAATTAATTTCACTTGTGTATTTTTCTTATTCTATCAAATGTAACCTGTCTTTTTCATTATTGTGTATCATAAACTCTAAATGTAAATAAACTTCAGAGTGTGATGAGAACCAGACATTTCCCCTCCGTCAAGAAGTAGTGGTGGGGGGTCCGTTTAACAAATAGTTTCGCTTTTAGGCATGCATCTGGATTCAGCTTGAGGGGAGAGGAAAGTTCTACGTACAACAAGGTAGCGATTGGAGGCAAGCATAGCGCGCTTATGTTGGTGTCCGTAGCATGAAAGCCGTAAAGGTATTAGTTCTGTAGCCGAAGAAACCAGTGAGTGTGTTGGTGTCCATAAACGGCGGCCGCACATGCATGTGTGTGTTGCCGCCGACCATCCCCACACACGCACAATCTCTCAATGTAATTTTTTAGTTGATGTTTTAATATTTTAGAATAACGCTTACACTTTTGGTTATTAACATAAAATTTGAATTTAATAAATTGAATTCATTTACGTATTTTGGCAGCAACATCGCGCCTTATTTATGTTTTTCAGAATATAAATTTTCATACTTATTATTTGTTTAGGTAATATTGCCGCAAGGTTTGATGCAGGCAGCATTGATGGCGCTGGTACAATTGTAATAACTATTTATTATATTTGTTATTTAGTAAAAGGAGAAAGGAAATAATAATTTCTTTTGTTCTTTGAACTATTTAATAAGCATTTTTCAGTTAAAGGCATCCTTATAACGTGATATTTAACGTTATCAGGGTGTCAAATATCCTCAAGCATAGCGTCGCTGCATAGCGACGTTCTTATGCTTGGACTGACTTGAAATTAATATTTATCCTACATGGTTGCCAAATAACCTATTAGGATTCTAACAATCCACCGTGAAAATTCCTGTTTTCGTCCCCGAAAACCCAGATGCCTTGAACTTAGAGATGCGCATACTATGGCTATGTATTAACAAAATTTCCTTAATATTTAGAACAACAATTACACAATTTTATGTAAATCTATAATACGAGTAAAATAGTAGTGGCTTTAGTAATAACATTAATTCTTCGTAAGTTATTGTCGGATAGTATTGTTGTTATATCATATTATTATTCCAAAATAATCTTGCAGTAAAATGGTGCTAACAGAGCATTTTCCTTTGAATGGTTATTATTATTTTCAAATTAAAATTCCGATTATATAATTAATAATCTTCTGCTATTACACAAAATTTTAAAGAGCGCAAAAATGTAATTTCGGTAATTGCGACTGAAATTAATTTCTATATTGCTACTGAGACGAGTTTTCCTAGATACATAACATTTTTGATCGTAACATGCTACATTTTAAGCCGTCTCAGTGGCGCGTTAGTCTGATTTTTCGCTTATAACCCTTAAACGTCGCTCAACTCATGCCTTTAAGTAGTACGAACGCAATAGGAACTTTTAGTTTGGTGACGTAAGTTCAATGTTGGTGTGATAAGGTCCAGTACCCCACCCTAGCTATTCAGTTCTCTTACGACTTTCGCGGTGATTGGAATACTGACAGCACGAATAACGTGTCAAATTTAAAATTGAAATCGTGAGTTCCTCAAGAAAACAACACAAAAATGTCTTTCATTGGTGGTAGAACCATTCCCAATTTCGACGAAGGAGAAGATTCTGATTTTTCCTACGAGTGGTCCTCGAGTGATGAAAGTGGCGGTGCGATGGACATAGTGAAGAGAGGTTGGGAAATATGTGGGCTAATCCCAGGCGACAAGTTCGTTACCACGAGGGGTTATCTTTTAACCAAACTGTTTGAAGTCAAGACGGAGTGGTCCTCAATGTCCTATACGGCAAAAGTGAAACGATACTTTGCGGCGAAAAATTGGCTCTTACAACGCGAATCAGAAAGAGGGTAAGTCCTATATATTCAAGTAATTAACTATAATAATCGTCGTATTCTGTCCAGTCTTGAAGTTGGACTATTGTGCATTCTTCTTCTTTTTTTTATTTAATAATATTATTTTTAATAATTAGAAAAAAAAAATTTTAACAAGGTTTCCTTGAGAGTTTTTAGAATCCGTTTGTTTACAAATCAATTTTACGAGACTCAAACTATTCAGAAATTCTTCGAATAACACTTTAAATAATTAAAAAAATTCAATTAAATATTTTCTTTTTTTTAATTAATTATTCTACATGATTGTGGGTTTTAAATATGAAAATTACAAAAAAAATTTTTTTTAACAATTTGATTTGAAACGATTTTTTTTTAAATTTAATTATTTTTTTTAATTAATGCTATAATGCTTTCAATACTCAATCATTATGTAAAACCCCAATTGAAATTCATTTTTAAAACGATTTTTATTAGTTAATTCAATAATTTAAATGTAAAAATAAATAACTTATTGAATAATTAAAATTTCCCAAAATCGAAGTCCTACAAGGAACTTTATCAAAACACCTTTAAATAATTGATTTCTACGAGTTTTCCCAAAATTTCTAAGAACAATTACATTTTTTGATGAATTCGATTAAAACTGTATTAAAATAAATGAAATTATTGCAAGAAATTTATAGAATTTTGTAAATAATAGATTTCATATTATGAAATTAAGAAAAAATTTTCCTTTCTTTTTAAAAAAAAAATTGACATTTTGACAAGAATATGAAAATTCTTGAACATGCTTGAATTTTTTTTGCAAAATTCCACTACTTTTGAGAATAATCCAATCCATGCAATCACTTATAGTCTTTCAAAATTCAGATTATTACTGGGAAGCTTGAAATGAAATTTTATGCAAAGTTAGCAAAGCAATGATAAATTTTGTAAATTTCAACCTATAACGAAATCAATTTTTCTTACAAAAAAATAGGCATCATTTTTATTTTACAATCATAAAAATTTTTTTTTCTCATTTTTTTACGTGTATTAACCCATTCGTTCTTAGTCTGTTACAGTCGCTCTCGGAATTTCCGCCATACGAAGGCTTTTCTCCCGCGAACGATGGCCTCCGTCTTTCGTACATACAAACTTTTAAATCTGCTGGGGGTGAATACAGACAGGCTGGTTCCTGGCAATTAGTGAGTGTCGTCGCATAAAATTTCCCCCCCTTTTTTAAATAAGTGAAAAGAATTTAAATTAATCCCCATCCTTTTCTTTTCTTTTTTTTACTTTTAGACCCTCAACGTAGATTTAAAAGAAGTGTGGGAGACAATCGGTTCGGAGGGTCACCTGTTTCGGGGTTATCGCGACGAATCTTCTGAGGAGGACTATGATGCGGGTGGAGAAGGAGGGGCAGTCCAGGAAGCTACTGTAGCAGAAAGCGAGGAAGACTGGTTTTAATCCAAAAAAAAAATGTTTATTATTATATTTTTTTTTAATAAATAAATTTCGAAAGGTTTCTCGTCAAATGTAAGATTTGAAAGATCGTATAATAAATATCAAAATATTCCTAACGGCAACTCGAATGAAGATTCAAAACTTATTTGAATAAAATTGACCCTCTTTCCTCTTTTTTTTAACTAAAATTCTTCTTGAAACCGATTTTTAACAATTTTCAAAAGTTCTTTGACAATTTTTTTTTAAATCCATTTGCTTACAATATTCAACTTCAAGAAATTTCAACCATTCGTAAATTCTTCAATTCAATAAATATTAGAAAATAATAACTTTAAATAATAAAAAGAAACGCAATTAAACTCTTCCAAAAATCGTTTACGCAGAATCGTTAAAAAATATAAAAATTCAAATTTTCAAAGATTTTAATCTGAAACCCATTTAATATTTAATTATAATCTAAAATTTTAACTGGAATTCATTTTTAAATCAATTTTATTAGAAAATTCAACGAGAATTTCATAATTAAAAAAAATTTAATTTTAAACTTATTAAATAATTATACGTTTCCCAAAATTGGATAAAGAATTATATTAATATATTTTCAAACAATGGATTTATTTTTATGAATTTCAAAAAATGTATATATATATTTTTTATTAATTAATTAATAATTACATTTTTTTTATTTGAATTTATAAAGTATTTGAAGTTAAATTAAAATTTGTTCACTGTTTTTTTTATAAATAAATAATTATTGTTTATTATTATTAAAACCTTGAGTAACTTTAATATAAGCAATTGCAACGACGAGAAGAAGGCGAGAGTTGAGATCAGGGCAAAAGGAAATTCTATCACATCTTTATTTAGGCTTTCCGTCGCCTGCCGGTCGCTATTAGTGTGTTAGGGTCTCGATGATTTATGACGGTCGGAGTGTCAAATAGCGCTGTAGGTAACCGGACCTAGCTCAGCTGTGCTTAGCTTGCAACATCGTTGTCATTCATTCTAGTCATATTTTCTCAAAAGATATTTCCCTTGCAACTACAAATTTTATATAACAAAAATTATTTTCCTTTTCTTTTAAAAACTCAATTGAAAATTTCTGAAATAATATTAATTATCAAAATTTCGATGAATAATTTTCAAGTATAAATTCAATAAAATAAAATTAATGAAAAGTACGTTTTTATGTTTTTAGAAATAATATTAAAATGGTTTTAGAGGGAAAAAAAGATAATTCCTTGAATTATTAAGTTCCAAAAATTTTCCATATATATTTTTTTGAATTGATGCATCTCCAACAATTCCAAAATCGGAATTCATACAAAATAATAAAATTAAAATCGTTCACAATTATTTTCAGCATTTTGGAGAAAATAATCATGTAAAAACTCTCAATTGAGATTCTTGGAAAAATTCCGCCTTTTAAACTGTACGAAAATTCCCCAATTATCTTCGAAAATTATATTACAACACTTATGAAAATTAATTCTTAGAATGACTTCAATATATATGTATATATATATATATATATATATATATATATATATATATATATATATATATATATATATTTCAACTTTCATTTTGGGGTGTTGAATAGCTTCGTAAGTAGCCTGACACCTTGATACGCCCGACGCCGAGCTGAATATTATTGGCCTCGCATTGATACGAAATACTCTTAACTTTCTGTTAAATAAACTTTGTCATTATTGTTTTCCATAGGAATAAATTATTTCCATATACAATATTCTCTTTTTTTTATCAAATCAAAGTAAACACTCTAAATAATTTCGACAAGGATTCAATTAGACTCCCCTCCCCCTTTTTTTTAATTAATTAATTCTACAGAATAGTCAGTCATAATTACGAAAAATACAAAATTTCAAAGAATTGGATTTGGAACAATTTTAGAATTCAATCATCATGTAAATTTTCAGCTGAAATTCATTTTAAATAAAATTTTATTAGATAATTCAATAATTTAAATACTAAAATAAATAGTTTATTGAATTTTCGAGGAGAATTAAAATTTTTGAAAGCAATTGAACATTGCAAAGAATCCTATTCGAACTTTTCTTTTCAAGTAATTACGCTTTAGAGAAGAATGTTATTATTTATAAAATAACTGACATTTTTTACTTTAAAAAAAAGAAATATTTAAAAATTCTTGGTCATAATAGAATTTCTAAATAGAATTGTTCCAAAGTAATTAAAAAAATTTTTTTTTTAATTTTCTTTTAATTTTCCTTTCCCTTTTCTTTTTACTAAACCATTTAAAATCAATTTTAAATCAGTAAGTCTAACTAGTGTTGATGAAAGGAATTTTAGTTTGGAATAAATAAAATTTTCAATGCTGAAAATATCATTTACAGGCCTGTAACGAAATAGAGAAGTTGAAATTCGGGGAAGAGAATCAGTTTTCTTCGCTTATGACTTTCTACCGCCCGACCCTTAATGGTTAAGTGTTTAGACTTCGCAAGATCTTGTCTCGATAAATTTTATGATCCTCGAGGGATTGAATGGCGCCGACAGGCGAACCTAACACCGACCCGACGTGCTCAATCATGGATCTCCCTGTGACAAATGTTCCTTTCATTGGGTATACTAAGTTATGCGTCTTTAGTCTATGCTTGCCTTTTCTGAAGTACGTGTCGTTCAGCACCATTAAAAGAATATACAAATAGTTCAAGTTTCTGTTTGTCGATCAGTGTTTGAAAGTGAACTAGTGACAGTATTTGAAAAACAACTCATTTGATTCGTATTACAGTTGGATAATAAGTGAAGGATTTTGTTGGAGTTCACTCTTATAATCTAAAGGTACTTATTAAAATTAATATTCTCTTTTAAAAAAAAAAAACTTTATGGCAATTTTCCGAAAGAACTGATTCCAAAAAAATTTTTTTTATTATTCATGAAAACAATTGAATTCCCTGTGAAGTCTTAATTATTCCACAGAATCGTTCTTTATTTAAAATATGAAAATTCAAATTTTCAAAGATTTTAATCCAAAATCTCCCAAAATTTGATCACTTCTAAAACTTTACGCTCTAGTACTGTTAATGTTCAATTATAATCTAAAATCTTAACTGAAGTCCATTTTAAAATCAAAATTTGTGAGATAATTCCACGAGAATTTCCTTATTTAAAATAAAAAAATTTATTTATTGAATAACTACATATGTTTCTCAGAACTGAATCCTTTTAAAGAATTGTATCAATCAATTTTAGAATAATTTAAATTTCTTTACAAAACTATATTAAAATAAACATTGAAACAATTAAATTAGAAATTTTTTTTTTATAGTTGAAATTCTGCCAAGAAATCCATTAAACTTCTTGAAAACAATTCAATTTTAGAGAAGAACCTTACTATTTATAAAGATAATTGATAATTTATACAGAATTGCAATAAAAATCTTAAATGCAGCAACTCTATTCCTTAAAGAAATTTAATTTAAATGTATTAAAATAATATTCAAATTCCAATAAATAAATTGTAGCAGGGGTCATTAAACTAATTAAATTGCCCTGACAAATCCTAACAAATTTTCTAAGAATAATTACATTTTTCGAGGAATTCGATCAAAACCGTATCAAAACAATTGAAACTCTGTAACATAAAGTAAATATTTCTGAAAACAACAGTATCATTGGGAAGAAGAATGAACCCATTATTAGAGCTTTACCAAAATTGTATTAAAATAATTGAGGGACCGACAGCAAGAACGGGCCAAACAACTATCGGGAGCGAAAGAGATTCAAAATAGTTCACATTTGAAAAAGTGAAACAAACTACGCTCTACGATTAAGAAAAAAAATTGTCAGATCAAAAACGGAATAGGATTTCATTATTCGCAAAAATGAATTAGAAGTATTTTACATATTTGCCCGCACTGATATTTAAAATGAATTAATTGATTACAAAACGCTGACTTTACGAGATTGCATTTGTCATTCTTTATTTAATTGATAAAATTAAAAGCATTTTATTACAAAAAAAATCATAATCATTATTATAAATTAAAAATATAAATTCAAAAAAAATATTTTTTACGAGTAAAAACGGAATAAAGAGATATACCGTTTTTGTTCTTAATTTCAAGCGATTTGTTTTCTCTCGTCATTCATTATAAACCACCCCTTTTTTTAAAAAATCATCTCATTCTCGCTCCGAACATTCCCCAACCCGCTCCTACCATCAAACCCTCAATCATAACTCTATAAAATTCCCTTTCTTTTATTATGAAACAATTAAACTATTGCAAATAAAATTGTAAAGGCAATTCTTTTTTAAAATTAAATTAAGAAATTTGAATTGAGAAAATTGAATCAAAGAAAGTTTAAACTCAAGAACAAGCACAACAACCTTAGAAATCAATTATTGTTATTGATAAATTTATGTCCTGCGTAAGATTAGTAACGTTTTTTAGTTTATGTTCTCAACCACCGCGCGAAGGCTACTCGTCAGGCGGCTGCTATGGTCGATAGCGGCGGCTACCTTCGATGATCATTCGTGCGCTCGGCGATTGGTGCCACTGAGAAAATTGTTAATAAGTCCCCAAAATAAATGCAATTTTTTTTTGGACATAGATAATTGTTCTCCAGAGCCACAGCTACAATTTTCTCTGTAAGGTCAATTGTTACGAATTTTTATCGCAAATACCCCAAAATTGACTTTAAAGTGGGGCACTCCTAAAATTGACCTTAATGGTATTAGAGATAAAACTTTGTTTTCTCAGCCTTTTCTTGGGATCTCAATCAGGGATCTTTGCAAGATTAAAACAATGTATAAATTTATTAAAAAAACTTTTTTTTTAATATAACATTAACTTATACACAGGTGTTTTCAAAATGAGTGGCAGATCAACCCGATCCCAACAATTACCATTAGAGGAGGAATTAGTCTTTTCCGAGCGTTCGCGCACGACTAATGGACGGCCTGACCTAATAGGTCTGTACGGCCAGTTGGATCAAGAATATTTTAATGGAAAACTATCAGCTGCAGGATATACAATAGCATTGGGACGGAAAATGAAAGAGACCTCTGGGTACACCGACTTGCCCCTACGCATAGTTCGGATAAGTTGGGAGATCCATAGGCTTCTTCCACAGGAAGAACTGATTGGAACAATACTTCATGAGATGATTCATGTTAAGCTGTTCCATCACAGGAACGACGTTGATAGTTTCCGTCACACCGGCGAATTTCAGAAGGAGATAAAACGCATTAACGAAATTGGACCCTACCGGGTATGATATTAACTACCTAGGTTGTTTCCAGTATTTTATCAAGAGTTATTAGGTGTTAAACATACATAAAATTTCCCTTTTTAGGTGGTCGCTTATCACAACCTTCCGCGGAAAGTAATCAACCAATTGCGTCCGTACGTGTGGAGATGTAAGAGCTGTAAATACATTCTACGGCTGACTGACTCTCGGAAGCCTGGATTAAAGAGTGGCCATTGCATAAAAGGGCAAAAGCGTTGCGCGAAACCTTCGTGGATTAAAGTTAAATAGTCGATTACCTATACAATTACTTAGGATACGCTTCTTTCCTTTTTTTTACTTGTACAAACAAATAAAAGAAACTAGCACACGATTAATGATTATTATTTAGATGGCCTATTAAAAAAAAAAAAATCTTCTCAATATATATTTTATAAAGTGATCAATTTATCTGACATAATTAAAGTTTAAAAAAAAATTTTTTTATATAATAAATAATTTCTTTAAACTATTTTCTTTTATATAAAATAGGAATTTTCTTAGTCAAGTAGTAATGAAATTAAAACAAAATCTTTATATTATTAGAATGAGAAAAGATTTCAATATTGAATTTATATAGGGGGCCGTCCATAAATTACGTAAGGCCATTTGGGTGGGGGGTGGGTGGACAATTTTCCTATGTTAACTTACATGGGTGGGTACCTAGTTAAACGAATTTCTTACGTAAGATATATTTTCTTACACTACTCCATAAATTTCGGAAATTCTCAAGCTATGATAGGGTCGTTCCAGAATGAGCCAAAACGCAACGAAGACGCGACGCGTTCAAATGCCAAAGATGTTAATATTAAGCTAAATTTCTGCATGAATATTTATTATTTTGACCAAAGGAAAATATGTTTAATAAATTTTATATAAATTAAGTATATTCTAAGAAATACATAACTATACACTAAACATCAAACATTTGTTTATTAATTCATTTTATTAGTTAAACAATTTTTTGCAATGCTACTAGTAAATTCTCGTAAAAAAATACCTAAGCAAAAACTTACGTAAGATAGGGGGGGTGGGTGGTTCAAAATCTTACGGAGTCTTACAGACGTGGGTGCATTGGTCAAAATCTAAGAAAAATGCCTTACGTAATTTATGGACGGTCCCTAAGGCATAAAAAATTTTTTTTTTTAGAATTCGAATTAAAAAAATTTTTCTTTGAATATATATATGTAAAAAAAACTCTATATCTATATTTTCTTTACATGATAAACCTGCGAAATAAGGTTATTTCGGGTGGCGATTTTGAACGTCTGTTAGGGTCGTTGTAACCTCTTCAAGATCTTTCGTGTTGTCTTGCGGGGTTATATTTGGCGGAAATTACTGGCGAGAAGGTGGTTGGTGATTCTTTCCCAATGTAGTCTCCTCTACTTGGATCCCTCAGAGTTTGGAACCTAACCCTTCGGTTAGTCATCTGATCTTCACTGATGGTCTATCTTCGAACGTTGCAGACTTTATCTCCTTTTTCGGAGTAGTTGTTGGTTCGGTTGAGGTTGTCCTTGATTGTACGGTCACTTCTTTGTTGGCAGTGGTTCTACTTGTAGAAGGGCCATCCTCGTATAATCCAGCAATATCCTTGTGTGTTGGAGTTTTAATCAACGGTTTCCCTCGCTGTGGCATTTGGATATTCTCATCTCTTGGCCTTGAGAATATTGATTAAGATAGTTTATATGCCCCAGTTTTCAGCGGTGATCGACACAAATACATAAGCAGAAATGCACATAGAAGAATAATTCCTCCATATGATCCGTAAATCAAGGTCGAGTGTCTTCCTTGGTTATGTTGCTGTAAGGCGAACTCTTGAAGCTGTTGTTCTAGTTCATCTAGGGTTTTGGAATTCAACTTGAATGCTGATAACTTCGGGTTAATTTCGAGAATGGACTTCGTTAAGACTCTGGTATTCTCAAGCAGGTGATTAAATTTTAGTAGTGTTGGGGAAAGTTTTGTTAAGTTTAAATGTAGATCTGATTCAAAAATAAATTCTGATTGACCAGTTTGTGAGGTGGTGGATGGAATTATGGCGTCCTTGGTTTTGAGGGAGCACCCTGGACCCAATTTGAGGATCCCAACTTCGCTCAGCATGATCTTGATTGGACTCATGGAATGGCATGCAATTGTCGCCTTTTCTGGTACAGAAAAGGAAAAAAAAAAAAGGCGGGTGGATCTATATCCACCCGCCTATGGTGGTCAAAGGCTTCCAGTAAGACTTGGATTCGCTGGTTACTCTGACATCGCAAAACCTTAAAGCTTCCACGTTGGGCTTGATCAATAATAAGGCTTCACAGGACGCTCGTTCACGGAGATCGTAGATTGGGGCGCCTTGAAGGCAGGCGTGAAAAGATGTTGTTTTACACAAATTCTATTCCTGCTCCTTTAACAAGAGGTATGTTCGCTGATCCTCGTCAATAATAAGGTAATCATATTCAGATTTTATGTATGCTCTTCCGGTACAATTCTCGAGCATTTCTTGAGTGGTCGGGAGTGAGTGTAATTTAAAGGCTTAATAATTATATTTTTCTAGGAGTGGTATGTCGATGAGGACTTTAAGTTGATGATTTTCGCACAAGATGGTGATGGTGGAGATATGCATCAGTTCGTCGATGCTGATCCTAGGTCCGGTTAATGGAAACTGAACATCCTTAAGGTTATCCTGTACTTCTCGCAGGATTGGTTCCAGTTGTTCGGATGTTATGAGGCCAGGGTGCATATATCCTTTCCTGGCTTCATGAACTGCCTCTAACATAGTGGTGGTGGCCTGCATGCTGTGATCAAGACCCAGTCTTAATGCCTTGGCAATGGCATATGTTAAATTCTGCCTTTCCCTCTCTTCCTTCGACTTCAGCTGGTTCTTCTCGAGTAAGGCTTGGAGTTGTTCCTGTAGTTTTCTCAGCAATGATCCATGTTGTTGTACTTGGGAGTGCAACGAGTAAAGTTGTGATCGCACTAAATGGGTTTGCTTTCCGACAAGGTGTGATAAATTAGCCTGGGCTTCATTGAGATCTTGGATGGCAGCACTATATCTTTCTCCGTCATCATAGGTCAATACCCCAATGATTGGTCCTGCAATCTTTCCCAGGAAACCCAATAGTGGAACTGAACGCTTTGCTCGTATTTGCGTAGTCATCTTGGTTGGTAAGGTCTTTTTAGCATTTTCCAACTCTTTGATTTGGACTCGAAACTGCTTTTGGAGTTCCGAGGCCATTTCCTATTTATCTTCCCAGTCATAGTATTCGACTAATTCGTTGCACCATTCCTCATCAGGTTTACACTGTTGTTTTAGTCGCTGTAGTCTGGTCCTCAAATCGTCGAAGAATCGAATCTGCTTGCCCACGTCCAGGAATACGGCAATCCTCCAGTTGCTGACGGACCTCCTCACTTCCCCGATATATTCGAAATATATCCCGCTGCTGGACTTGAAAGGAGTGATCTGGTAACGATCACTTGGAGTGGGCATCTCTACTTCGCGGGAATGGAGCTGCTTTGTTGTCATCACTAGGATGGAGAATAGGCGTAGCATGGTTATGGCAGTAGTCGTCATCTTTCCTTGAGTTAGTCTAAAATGAGAAAATAAGTTAATAACGGGTCTAGAGCTAGGGTCTAGGTCTTATAATCTGGTGGCTCTGACCTTGTCCCTATGCTTCGCGAATCTTTCACCGTTTTTAGTTTCGAGGATCACATTGTTATTTTCTGTGAATCCTGCAAGGGTGTATGGTCCTTCTGCTCGCTTGTCGAACTTATTAGACTGGACTTCTTTAAAGACATACACCTGGTCGCCTATTTTGGCATTCAAAGGTCGTGCCTTACGATCATAGATTTCTTTTGACCGTTGTTTTGATCGAACTAAATATTTAGCAGCTAAATTTTGTAGTTCGTTCATCCGTGTAATTAAGTCCTTCAGATAGGATCCATACGTTTCGACTTCGGGTCCTTGAGGTAACGAACTGGGTGCTTTAGCTAAATGTCCAAACACGAGTTCGTATGGGGTAAAATTGGTTGCCCCATGAACGGACGTATTATAATTAAACATCGCGAACGGAAGCAAACGATCCCAATCGTCAAAATCTTTCGCGTAATGCTTAATATAATCCGTCAGTTCGATGTGACTTCTCTCAAGTGCCCCGTTAGTTTGTGGGCGGTAACCAGATGTAGTAAGTTGTTTAACGCCAAAGATTTTTTCCAACTTACGCATCAAGGTGCTAACAAAACTTGCTCCTTTATCCGTTAAAATGCAACGGGGTGCTCCAAACACTGAGAATAAGTTCGTAGCTACCGCATGGGCAATTGTTTTTGTTTCTATATTCGGAATGGGGACCACGATACAGTACTTAGAGAAATTATCCTGCATTGTGAGGATGTGCGGGCCCTAGCGAGTTTGTTTTCGAAACAACTCTTACATCCTCGAATAAATTGGGTAACATCATCACGCATCCGGGGCCCGGACAGATATTATAAATAATATCTTTCCCTTACTCGTCGGTAAGTCTTGATTATACCCTTGTGTCCACATATCAAACTAGAATGAAATTCGGAAACGATTTTACCTCGTAGTTCGACAGGGGGTACGTCAAAGGTTCTGTCCATTGATTTGTTACACCACCAAGGGGCTTGCTGTTGTTCGGTTTTAATTCTCGGGGTTCACTATCACAATGACGATCACTTTCACTGGATGTCCCGAAAGATGATGGAGGATCAAAATATGAATTCTTGAAGTTTAGGAACGAAGAGCTAAGAGGCGCGCACTTCTTTGCTACATCATTGTCTGTATCCTGTATTCGTCTAGGTTTCATGCCCTGGTTCCTCGCGGTGATCTCCTGGTTAGAGTTGACACTTCCATCCTTGAATTTCGTGAATGGGGTGGGTTTTGCACGTGGGATAGTTGATGGCCCTGGAGGAGATAGTTCGGTTTCCATTCGGAGCGTTCGTCATCGGTTCCAACGGCAGAGTCAAGAGTTTCTAAATAGTCCAGATGTTCTTGATCTTCTTCACCGTCAAAAACATATTGTCTTCGTGGACTATGGTCTAGGCCTTCATAATCCCAAAGTAGAGTGTTGTTTGTTGGATTGGAGAGATTTAATCCAGCGTTCGCAATCGATCGATCGAATCTATTGACAGATTCTAATACACCCTAAATCAGCTGTTTAGCGTTGGACGGTGATCGTTGTTCTGCGTTCCGATCATCTGATTCACAGGTCTCGTTATCACTGTTATCGATTTTGCGTTGACCTTCGATGATTCCG